ACAAATCCATACGCCTCCTTTAGCACGTGCAGCGAAATGAATTCATGATGTCAACAAGAGTAAATTCACTCGGTTTACCGACACCAGCATGGAGACTCGAACTCAGTTACTGACTACAGCAGCACATCAAACATTTAAACACTACACCGTTAGAAACCTGTGCAGGTTCATATTTCATTCAATAAGGTAATAAAGGTGTAAATGTTCCCTCAAAGCTCCAACAGTGGTTTTAAGGTCTGATTGTGAACCTTAAATAAGTTTTTCCAGGTGAAAAGTTCGTATTTGTACCTTTTCATAACCGAATGTTTTAAACAGAACAGTAAAATAACAGTAAAAAGCCTGGAGACGAGACGGGGTGTGTGGAGTCAGTACAACCTAAAAATATATAACTGCAATCATGGGCGACATTTGGAAGGGGCAAGCAGGGGCGGGGGGGGCATTTGCCCCTGGTGCAATGTTCACCAACTCACCTTAATTATGTAATATTGACAATTATCACAACTATCTAGTATGTATACAGACTGAACTCCACGACACTAGGGGGCAGCCTGTATTCTGATGCAATGAGCTTTTATGCAATGCAATGTACTATCGCAGACGTTGGCAACCCAAATGTTAAGAAGAGCCATTTTATCCTTTCAACAAACATCAAACAACTTTGTGAGCCACAACATTTTATGTCCATTTTACTATCTTGACTGTAAATCTGTCTCAGTATGTGCTAAAGTACTAGTATAGAAGAAAAATATAATATAAACGAAAATGCTGGCTTACTTTACTCTACTTCAAGCTTTGGCTCCCACTTTTCTCGCATCTCCGGCAGGGAACTTTTCCACAATAGTAGAACAGTTTCTTGTAAAATGTCTCTCAACGTTCAATTTTTACACGGTTGAATTCAGCTTCCTATTCTCCAGCTTCTTGTTCTAATTTTCCCGTTCCGCCTTAAATGGTGCCAGAGGCGCAAGAATGTAACTGCTGCACCATTTCAGCTGGAACTGGCGAACAAGCTGACTTCAGCTTCGTGGCTTTTTAGTGTTTGAGTTTCTCACTGCAGATTAAACGTATCAGGAAACCAGCTGGAGTGATTATAAATGCAATTAAGTCAATTCATCTCCAAATTATCAGTGTTTGTCTTAAATCTCTCTCTTTGCCGTTTCGTTAGCTACTAGCTAGACGAGACTGTTGTCCGCGTTGCTATGGTGACCAGCAGTCTGCGCTGACCTTCAGGGTTAAAGGGTGAATTAGCAGTTCTACATTAACTCCAGAGTTTAAGACCATTTATTGTTAAAACTGTGTCGGCACTGCAGTCACTAAGTTTAAATTATGCTGTGGTCAAGAGCCTAACTAGTAGCACAGCTAGTAGCACAGTCTCTACTTTGCTAGCAATGGGAACAACTTTCAAAAACTCCTGAAGCTCCTGGTTGACTTATGCGCTCAAAACAACTACTGAGGCCCACAGCGTCCACCGAGGAGGTCTGGCAAAGTGACAGTGTCTGGATCAGATGCTGACTCTGCTATGGGTTCCTACAAGGAATTATACTTCGGTGTACTTGAATGGGCCATTCACATGGAACAGTCAGTGCATTTGATGCCATGCCCAGTGGGCGCCGTCTTGCACTTCACTAAGGTAGGACATTGTTTATACTTTGATAAATATAGGTTATTTGTAAAAACTAGGTTTTAAACTTACTGTACAGTTGACCCCCTTGACATAAGTCTCAGATGTTGCCTGTGACTTGTATATTAAAATATTTGTGAAAATTAAAATTATTGAAAAATTATTTAGGATTTTTTATGCAATATAGCTTTCTTAATTGTTACAAATTCTCATACTGAAGAACTATGAGATGTCAGAAGCTCCACCAGAGGGCAGCGTGGAGCCAGTTTCGGTCAGTGTTTCTAATCTGTTCTCCTTTTGCTGTAAATAACCCTAATTCTTAATTATGTTTATTTGATTATAATAAATTTTACCAAATGTTTCAGTAGTGACTGTTTTGGTGGAGACAGCTTTAGCTCATTTTGAGCAGAACTCAAAATGGCGACCAGCAAACACTGCTTTGAACACACATAAAATACAATATTTAATATCTTTACATATTATATTTTTATAAAAATACCAAAAAGTTTACCTAATTGCAGAAAATGTTTCAGTAGTGATCATGACGTTTCACACTGATTTTCAGACTTTGGGACTCATTTACTTCAAAACAATGGGATCTAACTGCTCACCATGTGGCCATGAGGGACAGGGATGCAGCCTCACTTCCTGCTCTAAAATACAGGGGCGTGGCTAAAATAAGGCTCCGCCCACAGAGAAAAACTTTTGGTATTTCTGTAACGACATGAAAATGTGGGACAGCATTTTTTAAATGAAGTTCAAATGATAAATGTACATCTTTCAGCTTTATTTTGAAAGAAATTAAGAAGATATTTTGAACAAGAATAAAAAAAGTATTATTTAGTAAATTTAGGGTTTGGGACAGACACCTCCCGATACATACATACATCATCTAAACCGCTTATCCTTCTGGGTCACGGTGGGGTGCTGGAGCCTATCCCAGCTGTCATTGGGTGGAAGGCAGGATACACCCTGGACAGGTCGCCAGTCCATCACAGGGCAGACAGACAGACAGACATACACAATCACACAGTCACTCACACCTAGGGGCAATTTAGCACGTCCAATCAGCCTGACTGCATGTTTTTGGACTGTGGGAGGAAACCGGAGTACCCGGAGGAAACCCACGCAGACACGGGGAGAACATGCAAACTCCACACAGAAATGACCCTGGTCACCCGGCCGGGAATCAAACCCAGGCCATTCTTGCTGTGAGCGCCACCGTGCCGCCCCCCGATAGAATTTATCTATTTATTGTTTATTAAATGTTTATGATTTAAGTTTGGTATCAGACAGATGTGGTTATCCAGCTAAAAGGTAGTAGGTCATATATGATGTGACAGGATTAGTAGCGTTAGATGATGTGTAAGCAGACGTTGGTGTAAATCACGACATCATCTACTATGGAAGTGTTGTTTTGGTGGACTGATATTATTTGAATATTTCTTGATTAATTACTTACAAATTTGAATATTAAATTTGACTGAACTGCCGTCTCTAATCCTAACCCTAACTCTAAACCTAAAACTAACCTTGTTGATAATCAGTTTGCTAGCAAGTTGATCATTTCACGACGAAAAGCACATCAAATCCAACAGTGTAGGAAACCATCACATAGTAACACACCAGCAGCTCACAGCATCGGACAGTGATACGTCAGTCAGAGCACACCCTTCATTTATTTCTAGTCATAACACCCGTTAAGTTATTTACAGTGTTCTAAAAAAGAAGAAAACGTTACAGAAAATTAGACTCAAAATGACTAAATCTACTCTCAGCTGTTCAGTCTCAGTGAGTCTCTCTTTCCCTTTATTCCAGCTTCAATTCTGTTCAGGAGCCTCACTTTCAGTTCCTCAAAGAATCTGCAGACACGCCTCCAAAGTTCAGTCTTAGAAGCTGGTTGATCATTTTCTGAAGTGATCAAACACATTCAGTGGTGTTGAGGTCTGGACTCTGGGGTGGTCAGTCCATCGTTCAGCTTCTTTGTTTGATGTGTCCGTCTCCTTTTCTCAGTGAGGTTCTTCTTGATCAGCTACACATCCTTTCAGACCCACAGCGCTGAGTCGTCTTCTCACAGTGGAAGGATGGACAGAAACACCTGTGGATGTTTTCAGATCTGATCAGCTTGATTTTCTCCTCTCTCTCAGAGATGAAAGCTCTAAGTGCTGTTTATCTGATGGGGGCAGTTTTGGGGTCGACCAGCTCTTCCAGGTGGTTGTCAGGAGTTTTCTGAACTCCATCTTTTTGTTTTCCTCCTTAGTTGTGCAGGTGGACAATCTTAAATCTAATTTCCTCATAAAGATCTCATGGTAAATGAGTAACTTGTACTAAATCAGACGTCACACAAACACACACACACAGACACTAACACACATGAGTAACACTGCTGGGTGGAACATTTTCCAGGTGATCTGCATCCTGCAAACTGTTTGTTAATGTGATAAACAGCAATCAAATCTGGACTAAACATAATCATTAATGGCCTAATAATGATATTAGCCCCCTGAGACCAGCCACACTTTTTCCAACCAACACATATAACCAACAATCCCACACACATCTGCTGTTCTGAACAATCATCAGTAATAAATTAAAGCTCTTGCTAAATAAATGTTCCTCCTACAGATTTGAGGTTAATATAATTAAAGTGAGCAGAAGTTAATCTAGCAGTTGTCGTTTTATTGCCTAGAGATTCTCACACAAATAATAAACAATTTAATTAACACTGCGGTCAAAATCAGGCAAACGGTAAATAAATACATTTGCTTTCGTCCAACTTTTCACATGTAATGACTTACATTACAGATGTTTATATAAATAGGGTTTTTATTAGACTTTAAATAAAGCAAGACGCTCAATGCGTAAAATCAAACTATGCTTAAAGGGAAATCCCACTAAACTTTCATAATTTCTGCAGAATTAAAAGTCATTCAGAGTGGTTCAGAGTGGTTTGGTGTGAAACGCTCTGTTCTAGAGAAACTTCCTGAGTCAGAACTGTTCACAGTGGTGGTGATAGGAACCAGACGTCCACCTCTAAAAGCTCCCTCACAGAAAGTTACTACATGAAATGTTTATGAATACATGGCTTGATATTTGACACATTGTTTTATGATAGTTTTGAGAAGGTTTTGGTTCTTAAAATTAATTCATGGTGGAGGGATACATGATATGCAGGGTGTTGTGATGCAAAATAGTCCCCAAAGAAAACGTATTATTTCAGATTTTCCACTAGTTAACTCAGAAGACTCGTGTAGGTTCACTGGTGGTTCTGGATAGTAAATAAAATGTTTATATTTGTGTTGTAGTCATGGCGACGTCCGGTTCCTATCACCACCACTGTAAAGAAATCTGAGTCTAAATTCTGCAGGATGCCATATTCATATATCTGTATCTGACCGAACTTTATGACTGTATGAGTAGAAATGTACATGTATTAAATGGTTAAACACCACTGGAATTCCAGTTTGGTCCAAAGATAGGCTGAATCCAAGTTAGAGAAAATGTCCTTTAGTGTCTTTAGGGGCAGCACAGCCAAACATGATTCCAAGACAGGAGTAACAGAGTAAATCGGTCTGCTCTTGGATGTGCGTAGAAAAGTAATCTTAGCATCGCTATATAAATGATTCAGCTCAATCGCTGTCTATGATCCAAACATCTGTGCTCATGTTTACTCCACTGTGCAGTTAGCAGATGCTCTTATCCAGGGCGACTTGCATTAACAGGTGAATCATCTAAGTGCAGGGTGATGGTTATCCACTGTGCTGTCCAGCCGTTACCATCATAAACCCCCCGTCACCTGCGTGAGGTCTTCAGAGAGCTGACGTGGACGTCACAGATGTCGAACCACTGCTGGTCCACCTCTCTTCGGGGCAGAAGGCCGTTGTAGGGCAGCCATGCCTTCAGCCTGCGCTCCCTGCTCCCCACCACCCGCCAGTAGGAGGTGCCCTTCAGCAGGAAGAGTGCATTGTGAGTATATGAGAAGTAAGCTGCGTCCAGTTTAGCCACAGGATGGTCACCTGCGGCGACAGCGGGAAACAGCTCGGTCATCTTCTTGGGAGAGCCGGCGGCTAGCCGGTTAGCTCTGACATCAAACCTATAAACCTGAAAATAAACATATTAAATATACTAACTGTCAAAAGTTTGAGCTCATGGTTTTGCATGGTTTTATTACAAATGAGCATGTTTTCTTTAATGGCTTGCAATAATTTATTAAAGAATAACCAGGTGTGTTCTGAGGGTTTCACACGTGGAAATATTGGAGACAATGAGTGCCTTTTTAATGCACTTCATCATCCGATAACTGCAGAAAATCAGATTTTGTCAGTAATCTGATCAATGCATTTATATGCACTTGAATAATCAGATAATGGGAAACTCCAGGTCTACATGAGTCAGACCGTAATCAGATTTCTGCTTTACAACCAGCCAATAAACTCACAGAAGAAGACGCGACGTAAACGTAACATAAACCCCAAACTTCCAGCTGCGGCTTTTTTTTAAACATTGCGCCACTTTACCCTGAAAATATGAACAAACATCGTCTAGAAGATGAAGAATATTTAAATCCTTCATTTCGTTGAGCATGTATTTGGTTTCAGTGTCGCTCCAAAAGTGTTTTGCTGTGTCTTGTGGTGACGCTGATGCTTATTTCTGGTACTGCAGTCTGTTTTCACACACGCTCAGACTGAGAAATCCGAAAGAAATCAGAGTAACAGTTTATATGCACTGAGAAATCTGATTACTGAGCTAAAATCCAGCCTCTTTCTCAGATTTCTTAATCAGATTCCTAGACCTTGCTCTAAGAAATCAGTGTGCTGTTTACACGACCATTTGAATAATCAGATAACTGCAGAAATCTGATTATAATCAGATTATTAAGTGCATGTAAACACACTCAATGACTAAAAATGAAAAATTCACAAAAACTATAATCAAACTAAAAGAATGACTATACATATTAAAGGTTGTGCAGTAGTTACAGCTACTGACTGAGCTACACACACGCATTTGTAATGTTTTTACTGACACAAAATTTACTGTGATATTAATTGTGACATCATTTTCCTCTAAATCTCTAAATAAACCTGGTTAGTTGTTAATATGTTAAACTGGTAACAAAAAAAAGCTGATTTATTAAAAAGTTTGATGTCCCCAAATCTTTGACAGGCAGAACACATGACATCACTGCTGCATCACTGCTGCAGACTGTGTGGTCAGTAACCAGGGAAAAAAAGCAGAAAACATATTTAACAGGAAGAAACGCAGACGCCTCAATAACTAAATACAGTATCACACTGTCAGTATGTCTTGTGTCCACCTCTCAACCTTTATTCCAGCTTCCTTTCTTTTCAGGAGACTCACTTTCAGTTCCTCAAAGAATCTGCAGACACACCTCCAAAGTTCAGTCTTAGAAGCTGGTTGATTGTTTTCTGAAGTAATCAAATGGTACAGGACGGCAGGGAGGCGGACCCAAAGGCAAAGATGAAAACCCGTGAGAAAGGGTGTTAAACAAATGTATTGAGGTAACGAGACGTGAATTGTCACACTGGGGATGAGGTGACCCAGAGCCAGGCTCGGACCGCCAATGTACTGATCGGCGGCCCGTGGGGTTACCGCTGGAAGGGGAGGCAGACTTTATGCTTCACACGTTTGCTCTTAGAGCAAACACCTTTTGTATGACTTGGAGCCGTTTGTAGCTCATGCCTTATTTTGGGCCAATTCCTCTATTTTGTTTTTTGTTTGTTTTTTTCAGCCCTCTTTTCTTTTTTTAAATTTTCTTTTTGTTTTTTCTTTTCTTTTTGTTTAAATACCCACCTGGGCTGCGTACTGTACCAGTCACCCCTCTACAAAGGTGTGACAAAGGGCTGCTGTTTGCCACAGCCTTAAGTAGAGGAGTCCACAGGTGTAATCAGCCCAAGGGCTTCTGGGAATTGGAGTTCCCTAAAGTTATGGCACTTCGCCACCGTTGCCCTCTGCTGGCAGCCAGCTGTGCAGGCTGGACGCTTACATCAACCCCATTCAGTGATGTTGAGGTCTGGACTCTGGGGTGGTCAGTCCATCGTTCAGCTTCTTTGTTTGATGTGTCCGTCTCCTTTTCTCAGTGAGGTTCTTCTTGATCAGCTACACATCCTTTCAGACCCACAGCGCTGAGTCGTCTTCTCACAGTGGAAGGATGGACAGAAACACCTGTGGATGTTTTCAGATCTGAAGCAGCTTGATTTTCTCCTCTCTCTCAGAGATGAAAGCTTTAAGTGCTGTTTATCTGATGGGGGCAGTTTTGGGGTCGACCAGCTCTTCCAGGTGGCCGTTGGGAGCCCCATTTTCTCTGGAGCTCTTAATCAGTTTTTGAACTTTTGGAAAGTCCTGCTTTTCACTTATTGTCCATTGTCTTCCTTCTTACTTGTACTTAATGCCCTGTTTATTCTGGAAAGCGTGGTCTCTGACACTTGCACTGTATTCTACATACCGACATTACACATCATAATGCAATAAACACAATAAATCAGACGTCACACAAACACACACACACAGACACTAACACACATGAGTAACACTGCTGGGTGGAACATTTTCCAGGTGATCTGCATCCTGCAAACTGTTTGTTAATGTGATAAACAGCAATCAAATCTGGACTAAACATAATCATTAATGGCCTAATAATGATATTAGCCCCCTGAGACCAGCCACACTTTTTCCAACCAACACATATAACCAACAATCCCACACACATCTGCTGTTCTGAACAATCATCAGTAATAAATTAAAGCTCTTGCTAAATAAATGTTCCTCCTACAGATTTGAGGTTAATATAATTAAAGTGAGCAGAAGTTAATCTAGCAGTTGTCGTTTTATTGCCTAGAGATTCTCACACAAATAATAAACAATTTAATTAACACTGCGGTCAAAATCAAGCAAACGGTAAATAAATACATTTGCTTTCGTCCAACTTTTCACATGTAATGACTTACATTACAGATGATTGCATAAATAGGGGTTTTATGACATTATAAATACAGCAAAACACTCAATGTGTAAAATCAAACTGCTGAAAGTGGAAATTTTCTCCTCTCTCAGAGATGAAAGCTTTAAGTGCTGTTTATCTGATGGGGGCAGTTTTGGGGTCGACCAGCTCTTCCAGGTGGAGACACAGTTTTCTCTGTAGCTTTTAATCATTTTTTGAACTTTTGAAAACTCCTGTTTTCTCTCTTCATTTCCTTTGACTTTCTCTTTCCTTATGCAAATGAATTATCTTATATTTTAATGTCCTCAGAAAAATCAGTAGCGTGTACTTAATAGCTGTTTTGACTGGAAATTAAATAAATGAACGATGCTGTCTGGCTTTTACAGAGCACTGCAGATGAAAACGATTATGATTTTGTTTATGTTTATGATCGTTTCGGTTAAGTGCCCTCAGTTTTTCCTTCAACTCAAACAGACAAAAGTCTCTCCAGTGATAAATTGTGAGTCTTTGTCTTGTTAAAGTGATTAAAATCTGCTCCCAGACTAGCTGGTGAGCATGCATGTCCACTCTGGTCAGTAAAATGGATGAGGATGTGGAATTGGGCTTTCTGTGAGCAAACGTGTTTCCTATCTCTGTATGAAAGAAGCTCCATGCTGCCTTTATTGTTCAATGCATTGTGATAGTTTCCGAGCATAAGCACACATTCAGAACACGATTCACGTCGGAAATCACTTAATATTTGCTTAATTATTTAATCAGAGTAACAATAAAATGTTACTGGTATGTGGCTTATGTCATACAGACAGATATAATATAATGTAGATTAATGTTTGCAGTCAAAAGGTTATATAGCGGTTTCCAATACCATACACACTAAACTATCAGCGCTTTCACAGCTCTCACCATCGAGCCTCTGAAGAAGTAGATGTGTGCGTCTCTCCTGTCGTAGTAGGCCGTGTCGACGGGGCTGGGGACTCCAGGGAAGCCTTCTGAGATGAGACGAGGATAGCGCTGCCCATCAGCGTCCCGAGAGAAGACCTGATCGCTCTCACTGTCGTACCTCCAATACTGCGTACCTGCGACAGGTGTTCAAAGTGTAAATCTCACACACAACTGCATCTGTTACAACAACCCAGTAGAACCTCCTCCACGTCCCATTAGACCTCACATAAACTGTGAATTCATCACCATTTCCTGTGTGCAATATAATCAATACTCCATGTGAAATACGTGTTAAATATCTCTGTAGTGTAAAGGTTTTCTTGCTTTTCTGTTTGTGATGTTATGATACTGTTAATTCATCACCATCACATGGGTAATATGATCAATACTCCATGTGTAATTCGGGTAAAATATCTTTACAGTGTTTATATTGTCAGTTTTGTGTGAACAGAGTTTATGTGAATGATAGAGTTAATATTGTTATCTTTAGTGTTATATATTTTGTCTATACAGTAACAAGTAACAAACTGTAACCGTGTTAAGTAACTAACAAGGTTAATTACTTTGTTACTTCTTTTCTTGAGTGCCTTGCTATCATTTTGCTGCTGTAGCACTGGGAATTTCCCCGTTGTGGGACTAATAAAGGATTATCTTATCTTATCTTAACATATCATTATTTAAGCAGTAGAACACAGAGGGAGTGTGTTATCACGAAATAACATCACGGCTGTGATTTGGTCGCCGTAGATCATCACAGCCGTGATGTTATTGGCGATAACACACTCCTCGAGTGTTCTATTGCTTTAATACAACAGTTAATAAATACAGTAATAAATTAATAAACTGGGCCGTGAACGCGGCGTTTAATATGTTTTAATGTTCGCAGTTCCTTCACCAAATTATAGTTCCTTAACGAGCAGCTTGTTGCTACACCAGAGTAACGAGCCGGCAGTTCGTTCTCCAGCTCCTCACACTAAATTCCCAAACTGTCATCACCACTGAGCAGCTTTTCAGTCGGCAGCTGTGACAGAAGAACAGCTGAACAACCTGGAATCAGCCAGAAATGAACCCAACACCATTCGCTAAACGTGTAGTCTGATCTTCAGAGTCTGACCAAATCAGACTGAGCCACAAAACTGCCGCAATATCAGGTTCAGCTCAGTTTTGTCAGTTTTTGCCAGATCAGTATTAATGTTGTTTTGTTCCAGCCAGTCTGTAAAGCATCTTACAGCCCATTTAGTTTGGCGAATGGTGTTGGGTTCATTTCTGGCTGATTCCAGGTTGTTCAGCTGTTCTTCTGTCACAGCTGCCGACTGAAAAGCTGCTCAGTGGTGATGACAGTTTGGGAATTTAGTGTCGTCTCATCTTCAGAGTCTGACCAAATCGGCTGTCGGTCAAATGTGATCTTAAAAGTGTCCGTTTTCTGTTTGTAAAGTAAGAAGTAAAAACGTTCAAATGTCTTGAGCGTCTCCTACAGCTGTCAAAGTTGTCGCTTAGCAATGGCGTCTCAGCGGAGTGATACAGTGTTTGTGAAAAATTGAACGCTTCTCAACCAATCAGCTCGCGTGGTCGGAACTAACTGTTGTATAAATTCCAGTAAACACCATCATTAGAAACACTACACGGAAACCCACAAATAACAAACTGCTTAACATTTAGGGGCACTAAAGTACATAAATCTATCTATCTATCTATCTATCTATCTATCTATCTATCTATCTATCTATCCATCCATCCATTCACGTATGCACAAGTGTGAACACCCCAGTCTAATTACGTTTTGCTCACTTACTAAGTGCACAATGTGTATTAATTTGCTAACATATTGACTGATTTTTAATATAAAATGTTCTGTAACTTTCTTTACAGATCATATATTTTTATTATGTTAAATTCAGCAAATAAACAGCAATTATGCACAGACTTGTGTTGAAGTTCTCTCTCTGTAGAGGATGCTTGTTAACTCATTTTTCAATTAGAACATAAACAACAACACTGTATTTCACTTGGGTGCCTAAACTTTTGCATACATCTATATCTATCAGTGTAGGTTCCACTGAGAGAGTTTACCTCTAAAGAAATACGCCGCATCTGTCTTGCGCGTCCACACATGAACGTACGCGTCCACGCCAGCCGCAGGAATTCCGTGCCATCCGACCGGCACTGAAACCGGATCTCCGTACCGGGTTCTGTTATTCCGGTTCTCGTACAGCCAGTACCAGCCGTCCCGCATGAAGTAGGTGTTAAAACGCACCACAACTTCACCGTACTGGGTCTTCTCCTTTCTGATCCAATCAAACACAGTGCTGAACCGGCCCTTACAGCCTCCTGAGAGAGAGAGAGAGGCAGAGAGAGAAAGAGACAGAGAGAGAGAGAGAGAGAGAGAGAGAGAGAGAGAGGGAGAGAGGGAGAGAGGAGAGACAGAGAGAGAGAGAGAGAGAGAGAGAGAGAGAGGCAGAGAGAGGGAGAGAGGGAGAGAGGGAGAGACAGAGAGAGGGAGAGAGGGAGAGAGGGAGAGAGAGAAGGAGAGACAGAGAGAGAGAGAGAGGGGGAGAGAGAGAGAGAGAGAGGGAGAGAGAGAGAGGGAGAGACAGAGAGAGGGAGAGAGGGAGAGAGAGAAGGAGAGACAGAGAGAGAGAGAGAGGGGGAGAGAGAGAGGGGGAGAGAGAGAGAGAGGGAGAGAGAGAGAGAGAGAGAGAGGGAGAGAGGGAGAGAGAGAGATTGTTTCTTAGACTGATGGACAATGTGCTGTAGATGGTTCTGTATAGGATCTTTTTAAAAATGGTTCTATATAGCACCCAAATGGGTTCTTGTTACAGTGTCAATATAGAACCATCTGCAGCACATTCATGCACATTTCCATCAATCTGAAGAACGCTTTCAAGATGCAAAACCCTTTAATCATGCAAAGGGTTCTTTGAGTAAACATGGTTCTATATAGAACCATTTTCTTTACTAAAGAACCCTTAAAGCACCATCTTTTTTAAGATGGCCAATAAGTACGAGTTGTTCCCTTTTCAGGAGATGTTTCTGAGGAGATCAGATATAAGATAATCCACTTGCATAAGGAACGGGAAAGTCAAAGGAAAATGTGTCTCCTAACAACCACCTGGAAGAGCTGGTCGACCCCAAAACTGCCCCCATCAGATAAACAGCACTTAAAGCTTTCATCTCTGAGAGAGAGGAGAAAATCAAGCTGATCAGATCTGAAAACATTCACAGGTGTTTCTGTCCATCCTTCCACTGTGAGAAGACGACTCAGCGCTGTGGGTCTGAAAGGATGTGTAGCTGATCAAGAAGAACCTCACTGAGAAAAGGAGACGGACACATCAAACAAAGAAGCTGAACGATGGACTGACCACCCCAGAGTCCAGACCTCAACACCACTGAATGTGTTTGAAAATCATCAACCAGCTTCTAAGACTGAACTTTGGAGGTGTGTCTGCAGATTCTTTGAGGAACTGAAAGTGAGTCTCCTGAAAAGAGTGGAAGCTGGAATAAAGGGAAAGAGAGACTCACTGACTCACACAGCTGATATATTTAGCTTTTGTTTTATGCTTTCTTCTTAATACGGAAAAACAAATAACATACTTAATGGCTGTTTTGACAGGAAATTAAAGGGCTCTGATTGTTAAGCATAAATAAAATATTCAGGAAAGAACAAATCAAAGTTTACTTAAATACATGTAATTATTTGTCACTCATCTCTGAATACATTAGTAGGTGATGGTGTATTTACAGTATATACACCAAACAGGCATAACAAACACCTCAGTGTCACTGCTGGACTGAGAATAGTCCACCAACCAAAAATATCCAGCCAACAGCGTCCTGTGGGCAGCGTCCTGTGACCACTGATGAAGGACTAGAGGATGACCAACACAAACTGTGCAGCAGCAGATGAGCTATCGTCTCTGACTTTACACCTACAAGGTGGACCGACAAGGTATGAGTGTCTAATAGAGTGGACAGTGAGTGGACACAGTGTTTAAAAACACCAGCAGCACTGCTGTGTCTGATCCACTCGCACCAGCACAACACACACTAACACACCACCACCATGTCAGTGTTACTGCAGTGCTGAGACTGATCCACCACCCACATAGTACCTGCTCTGTGAGGGTCCATGGGGGTCCTGACCACTGAAGAACAGGGTAAAAGGGGGCTAACAAAGTATCAGAGAAACAGATGGACTACAGTCTGTAACTGTAGAACTACAAAGTGCACCTATATAGTAAGTGGAGCTGATCAAATGGACAATGAGTGTAGAAACAAGGAGGTGGTCAGAATGTTATGCCTGATCGGTGTATGGCAGTAACATTGTAACTGCAGCACGAGAACAGTGGGGTTCGTTTTTGTGTCTTTGTTGGGGGGGGTGTGGGGGGGTGATAAGATAGTTTGGCTAAAAGTGCCACAGTGGTCAGAAATGGCCAATGGCTACATGCAGTATTATGCAGCAGATTAGTATGAGAGTGTCAGGAACCTTTTTCCTTTTTTTGAGGGGCTTATCACGGACCCCATTACTTGATTTGATTACAGCGAAAATTACAACAGGGCGGCGTATTCTTCAAGCCAGCAAACAGCTTTTTACAGCTCGCTTTTGGCTTCAACACCCAAATAACTGGCGGCATTAGGGCCTGCTACTGGTAATGAACCTCGCGAACACATCAAATTAAAACGCTGATGGATGTGACGGCAGCTGCTTTGTCGGGACACGCTCGGGCAGTAATTGATGTTTTATGCTTGCTTTTTCGCAGCAAAGCGATTATTATCTTTAATGAATTGTCATCTGGACAGTTTTCTAATAGCGGTCTGGGAGCCACTTTAGATTCAGTCTTTTTTTCCAGGCTTTAAATCTCATCCTATAATAAAACATTAATTACGATGCTTCTGATCTAGAGGAGCTGATAAAACTCTTATCAGAGGTGTTTCTTTTTTTAATGAAAACATAATGGAAGTTATAACCGTAGCCTGTAGGAAAAAATAATATTAGTTTTGGGTTTTATTATCTTATTTCAGAGATTTCTGTGTCGACATTATATCCTGAACAACACCACAGGGTTTGATGTTGGAAAACTTATTAACACATTATTTTAGCGTGCTTGATCTGCCTGGCTCCGAATGTTTTATCAGTCATCACAGAAGTTCACCATGGTGAGCACACAGAGCTGGACTGGCACTGCTTTATATAGTTCAGTAGAAAATCACACAAGACAGTAAAAACATCTCAGAGAACGAGGAGACATGAAATACAAACATGCTTCATATTCGTCTTTGGCAAGTTTGACAGAAGAGCAGATCTGGATCCATTGCCGACTGACAGCAAATGGATAGATAGACAGATAGACAGACAGATAGATAGATACTTTATTAATCTTGAAGGACATTTAGTAACACTAACGTCGTGGTGGTGTGTTAGTGTGTGTTGTGCTGGTACGAGTGGATCAGACACAGCAGTGCTGCTGGAGTTTTTAAACACTGTGTCCACTCACTGTCCACTCTATTAGACACTCCTACCTTGTCGGTCCACCTTGTAGATGTAAAGTCAGAGACGATAGCTCATCTGCTGCTGCACAGTTTGTGTTGGTCATCCTCTAGTCCTTCATCAGTGGTCACAGGACGCTGCCCACAGGATGCTGCCCACAGGACGCTGTTGGCTGGATATTTTTGGATGGTGGACTATTCTCAGTCCAGCAGTGACACTGAGGTGTTTAAAAACTCCAGCAGCACTGCTGTGTCTGATCCACTCAGACCAGCACAACACACACTAACACACCACCACCACGTCAGTGTTACTGCAGTGCTGAGAATGACCCACCACCCAAATAGTACCTGCTCTGTGAGGGTCCATGGGGGTCCTGACCACTGAAGAACAGGGTAAAAGGGGGCTAACAAAGTATCAGAGAAACAGATGGACTACAGTCTGTAACTGTAGAACTGATAAAATGGACAATGAGTGTATGGCTTTTTAAACCTCAATAATCAAGATTTGTTTATTGAAGTTATTTTTCACTATTTTCAGTGTTCATTGTCAAAGAGTAGGGGAGATGGGACCCATGACCCGTCCCTGTCTCCAGTGAAAGATGGTGTGTGGTGTGAGCCTCGTCTGCAGTCACTCGTGTAGTGTGCGCACCTCGACATCCAGGTAACGACAGGTCGATAAATGCTGTACAGCAGCGTAGAATTTCGGAGAATCTGAAAGTGTCCACTAGGCATAATCATAATCGAGGCTTTACTGTTTGAATCGTCAACCAAAATCATTATCAGGAAACAGGTCAAATCCAGAAAGGGCAGCAAGTATAGACACACAAACATAACAACAGGCAAAAACTACGGAGCCCTGCTGGTGACATCCTGTGTAAATAAAAATAATGCGTGGCCACGCCTTATTAACCCGTGGGAACGGGATCCTAATGCGTGGCCACGCCTTATTAATGCATGGGAACAAGATCCTAATGCATGGCCATGACTTAGTAAGGTGTGGGAATGAGATCACGGCTTACTAAGTCATGGCCATGCATAAGGATCTTGTTCCCATGCATTAATAAGGCGTGGCCACGCATTGAGATCTCCTTCCCACGCTTCACTAAGTCGTGGCCATGACTTAATCATCTCATTCCCACGCCTTACTAAGTCGTGGCCATGCATTATTTTTATTTATACAGGATGTCACCAGCAGGGCTCCGTAAAAACAATCCAAAAGGGGTCAGGCAAAAACGGGTAAGTCAAAAATGCAGAAGATCAGTCAAAACCAGAAAACACAGCACAGGAAATAAACAGTCAGGAGCTCAAGAAAGAAGCAATAAAGCCCGGGCCTTATAATAAAGCTAATGAGAGGTCAACAGGTGTAACAGATCAGTCTTCAGGAGAGAGAGATCTGTGACTGAGGGTGCTGGAGTGCCGGAGGGTCAGGAGTCATGTGATCTCCCAGAGGATTCTGGGAGATGGAGTCCATGGAAACCTCTGAGCCATAGGGATGCGTGACAATGTGTTTGTAGACTGAAGATATTTTGTTATGATTTAAATTCTACCAAGTCTTGTTGACAAATAATGTACAGAACTCGACAAATAACGTACAGACGCAAGTAAGTACGCTGGCGCAACACGGCTGCCGCAACACAGCTGCCGCTTTACACCGGTTTTTTGTTTGTTTTGTATTGTTTGTGTGTATGTTTTGATGTTTCCCTGCTGGCTGAGTTTGGCTTCTTGGTCTGGCTGTTTGGGTGTTGCTACATCTCAGCTATGATGCAGCCTAGACCAGCCACTGGAGAGACGCTGTATCACGGGTACGAGGCTCTCTGGACTGGGACGCAACATTGCAGCCTGGGCCGACTGCTTGATTGACAGCTGTGGGGCTGCCTGGACCAGTAGTGTTCGGCTGTGTGAGCAGCGCAGCACCTCGGTTACAAGGCCTCTTGGGCCTGCTGAACCTAAGCGACACTACATCGCAGCTACGTGGCTGCCTGGGCCGGAAGCCTGGGTGACACTGTATTGCTGCTATTAGGTTGTCTGGACTGGTGGTGTTTGGCTACTGGAAAAAGGACATTTTTGACCTTTGAGGCTTCCCGGGTCGGCCTCCTGTGTGATGCACCGTAGTAGCAGTGTGAGACTTTCCCCGTGGCTAAAGACTCTTTCCAGGCTAGCTAAGTGGCTCTATACCGTGGTCAGTGAAATCCCCCCCTGCTAGCCATGGGAACCGTGGAGTGTGTAAGTGTGTGTGTTCTATGTCATGTATTGTTGATTATGTATTGAAGCAGTCTTGAGCATGGGAAAGGCACGATATAAATAAAAGTGATGATGATGAAATGCAATACCTTATGTAACTAATTATTAGTTATATAATTCATACATTCAAATAATACAACAAAACAAATGTAAAGAGTTAAAGGTGTGCACCCTGAAACTCTAGTCCGTTAGGGAGACATATAATGCACATATAATGTGTTTAACCCCGTTAGCCTTTAAATCCCGGTTTCCTTTCTTGACTCCTATAAGTTCAGAACAACTCAGCCAGGCAGCCCTGTTTTATATGTAGTTACTAAATAATAAGCCTGTGACTTTAAGGGCTAAAAATGCAACATCATTTAGTTATTAATCTTAAGATTTCATTTAAAGTTGAAATGTGGGAATTGAAATTTGGCCTCACGTAGAGTTTAAAAGGTTAAACACATCGTCACTAAGCTCCGCTGGTCTGTGAGCTGCAGGAGTGGAGACCGGTGCTCTAGTGTGTACTCTAGGGTACTTACCATAAAGGTTCTGGATAGCCTTCCTGTCGAGCCAGTTGAGTTCGAAGCCAGCGTCCTGCGGCAGATAGCTGGGCTGCATGATGGATCCCGCACGGTAAATGTGAGGCAGGCCAAGGACGTGTCCAATTTCATGCACAGCTACCTGAGCAAGACATAACAAAGCACAATCAGAGAAAAAATCTCATTTGGACACTGGAAGTGTGTTTAGAGTACTTTTCAAAAGTTTGGAATCAATAATACGAAATCAGTGCAGTTTCAGATAATTGTACACAATTATTCTAATATGCTAGTCCTGTTTAATTTCAAAGATTACTACTAATTAGTAGAGAGCTGTATAAAAATGAAGAAATGTTACGTGTCCAGAATGATTAACCGAGCTGCAGAAATTCAAGAATGAAGTTCTAATAAAATAAATATACTGAATGAAGCAGGAAAGTGTGTTAAGTTGGGGGTGCTGTACTTTTTTAACAGCATATACACCAATCAGGCATAACATTCTGACCACCTCCTTGTTTCTACGCTCATTGTCCATTTTATCAGCTCCACTTACTATATAGGTGCACTTTGTAGTTCTACAGTTACAGACTGTAGTCCATCTGTTTCTCTGATACTTTGTTAGCCCCCTTTTACCCTGTTCTTCAGCGGTCAGGACCCCCATGGACCCTCACAGAGCAGGTACTATTTGGGTGGTGGATCATTCTCAGCACTGCAGTAACACTGACGTGGTGGTGGTGTGTTAGTGTGTGTTGCGCTGGTCTGAGTGGATCAGACACAGCAGAAACAAGGAAGTGGTCATAATGTTATGCCTGATCGGTGTATATCCAATGTTCTTTCTCTCCTCAAGGACGGCAATCCATCTACAATCCTTCTGTGATGCAGCGAGGATACGGGACGGTGTTCAGTTTTACTCTGTAATTGCTGATACACGTGTCTGTCGGATTTCGAGCTTCACCTTGAGTAAGCTGATCCCGTTGCCTGTGTTAGGGGCCGTGAAATGTTCATCATCATCGAAATGGATGTCACCGAGGAACCACGCATGAGCAAACTCCCTTCCAGCGCCATCAAACCGCTGAGCGCAGCCAAGGTGTCGTCCTATAACGGGAGAGAAACAAAGCAAGCCATTATCTCTACAGACGTCGTGACGCACAGCACAGTAGCTCTCATTCTCTGCCTCCGACTGCTATATGATATGATTATAACCATGTGAAGTAATCTGTTATTTCAGCGTAGCAGACTAGACAGCTGCTATAGTTGGTAGCATAATGCTTCTTCTGTCCTTACAGAATTCTGTAGCCACAGTGCTCAAAGGAAATGACTGCAGGTATTCATTCCAACCCGCACAGTATCATCTGAGTGCACTAATCGGCTCTGCTCCTTACCAAAGAATTCAATCCAATTCAATTTTATTTGTACGGTATTTGTTATAACAGACATTGTCCTAAAGCAACTTCCAGAAATCTGGGTTCAGCCCCTAATTAGCGCCACCGAGAGAGAATGTGTCATTAAAGACTCCCTAAGACCAGGAGGAAGAACTACTGAGAGGAACCAAGACTCCCTGAAGAACTCCCTACACCCTTAAAAATGTTTTCAAGGGTTCTTTAGTAAAGACAACGGCATATATAGAACTGTGGCAACTCAAAGAACTCTTTGAATATGCAAATAGTTTGTTGCATGGTTACAATGTTCTTCCTTATGATGGAGAACCTGTCAAATATGGTTTAAATAAAGAATATTTTAAAAAGGGTTCTATATAGCACCAAAACGGTTTCACCTGTTGTTACAAAACTCAAAAGAAGAACCTATCCTTATGTGGGCAACACCGTATAGTGCAGTTAGCATACAAGCACAGCCTGTGTCCAGCCTGAGCCTTGGCTACAGCTAGGTTACTTCTGATACCTCTGGGATGAGTTGGAGTTGCATTTGGGATCCAGAACTGTTCATCCAACATCAGTACCTGACCTCACTAATGCTCAATCAAATCCTGACAGCAATGTTCAACATCTAGTGTAAAGCCTTCCCAGAAGAGAAGAGGCTGTTACTGCAGCAAAGAGGGACACTAGGGCAGGTGTCTACAAACTTTTGGACACATAGTGATGGGATTTAATAAGAGCTACTGGGGCCAGTTATGTACACCAACAGCCTCACACTGACAGCCTCATTAGGACTCCTCTAAAGCCAATGAAACATATTCCACCTGTTCCGAAGCCCAGTCTGATGTCGATCTCCTCCAGCGGTGAGTGCAAATCCTCGACAAACTCCAGAGGGGAGACTTCGCTCCACATCCTGAAGGCCAGTCTGAAGATGTACCTCTGGTCATCGACGGAGAGCTGGCTGCTGTAGCCCTCACCAATGAGCCTCCATCTGAGGACGCTCTTAGAGAACGCCATGTGGCCCCACTCACCGGCCTCTCTTTTCTGCCTGCTCTTACGCACCAGCTCCACTAGGTGGCGCTTTCTCCGTGTGGCTGGTTTAGGCTGAGCCAGGGTTTCGTTGGCGGTGCCGTTCAGAACGACCGTGATATTGTTTGTCACTGTGTGGTTGTAAAGCTCAGGAGTGGTGCCATTATATGTGGAGGTCTCATTCAGGTCCTGTGCAGTGGAGCTAGCCTCCGTGGTCTCAACCAGGTCCTCTTCCTTATCTGGGACACCACACCTGGGTTTGTTCATGGCCACTTTGGTGGCGTCATCGAAAAGACCCGTGACGGCTAAACCGGACACCTGCTGGAACTCTCGGAGGGCTTGGATGAAGTCAGGTGACTGTGAGGTACCTCCGGAACTTGAGCGAAACAAGGATGCCCCCTCCTGGACGAAAGGGTCAGTGTCCTCCAGGACCGTGTCAGCATCAAGAAGCATGTCAGTACTCTGGGCTGGAGGCTCCTCCCACTTCACTGCCTTAATGAATCCATACTTGAAGAGAAATTGCTGTGATGCACGACATGAAAATAATTGTTAGTAACCAAGCTCAGTCATCGGAAACGAGATACTGTTATTCGTAAATGAGCCAAGATAACTTGAGTTAGACGGCAGTTCTGAGGCCATTTGTTCCTCTTCCCTGCCAACTTGCAAGCTAACCTTCTAAACATCTCTCTAAGCTTGGTAACATCATTGTTGTATACAATCCAAGTATGTATATTAGTAGATCTCTATGATTAAGTGGTCAAATGTTATGGCAGCAAGTCATCTACTGTCATTAAAAGCAATCAAAGTATGTAGTGCTGGTTTTAACATGCCTCTCTCTCGTCAATTTGGCCTCTTGTTGGGTAAATCCTGTCACCATCTTATAGCCCATTTCATAATTTTCTATATAATTTCCTATATAACTTTCAGAATTTAAAAAACAGAATCAGCTGTTTGAAGTCGTGATTACAGTTGAATTAAAGAGCTGTTTTATTAGTGTTCTATTGAGTTTAACCCTTGTGTGGTGTTCAGGTCTGAGGGACCCATCTTCAATGTTTACCAAAAGAAAAAAGGTGTGATTTATTATTATTTTAATCTCAGATTCTTGGTCTTTGCTCATTTTCTGTGAAGAACATATAAAATAACCCATTTTCAGTGTCTTCACTCTGTTCACCCCCCACACGTTTATATTACACATGTGGTGTTGGGTGAACCTGCAGGGAGCAAAAGTGTGGAGGTGCTGTGTCCTTCACTCTGTTCTCCTCCTACATGGCCTGCTGTTAGTGTGTGTGTGTGTGTGTGTGTGAGGGTGGACAACATGGGCCGGCTGCTGACTGGCTACAGCTGCTAGAGGAGAACCCTACGCTGGACACTCGTGATATTTTAAACATCTGGTATTTTTACATAAATTGTTTTGGCTGTATTGATTTAAATAAACAATAGGTAATATAGCGCCGAAAAATAAAAAATCGAAAATGTTGCACAGTAGGGCTGACCTCACAATGATCCGAGTATCACCTTACTGTTTATCGAAATTACAGACCAAACTAAAATGCCATAAACGTTTAAAACGCGCTGTTACTTCTTATTCCATGTCAGGGGTCTCTAATTAAAATTCAGTAAGGTCCAGTTAGAGAAAATGTCCTCAAGCGAAGGTCCGGAACATCATAATGACTAACTTGGATCATGACTCATTGCCATATACTGTTTACTGAAGTAGCCTAGTAGGTATATCAACATCTTTTACAGTCAACAACTGAATATCAAATCAAATAAAGTACAGTTCAGTCATATTTCAACAATATTTATTATCAGTTTTCTCTTTTTAGATCACGACATGTGAAATAACTTCCCTCTGACTCACTTTCTTCTCTGACTGCTGTTTCTTGCTTCGTGTGTGCGTCACTCACTCGAGTCTCAGTGCTCATAGTAATGCACAGATCTGATTGGCTGAGAACCGTCACGTGTGATATTTACAACGTATGAGATTGGTCTGTGAGTCACCGCTAAACCGGTACCATAATGACTAGAAATGTTACGCCGATTAAAACAGGACCACCCCGTCAAAATTCAAATAACTCTCCATAGTTTATCGGTTATAGGTCCAGGTCCGCATAGGACAGCATCTGGGTCCGGACTCGGACCACGGTCCACCTTTAAGTGACCTCTGTTCCACAGGCACCGCCATGTTGAAATGACATCATGGGTTAGCAACTTTGAGAGGGGTTTTTACTACTTGGAGGTGCTGATTTTAGCAGAACTTTCTCAGAAATCACGAAACTCTAACATTGCGGCCCAAAGAAAAACAAGTATCTCCAAAACACTAACTTTACAGGAGAGGACAATGAAGTTGGCGGTCTGTGCTGTTTGCTGTTTTTTTCAGCAGTCTAATTATCATATTCATATATGTAAATGGAAAAATGAAGTCCCTCTTTAAATTAGCGTACTGTGACTTTACTTTCAATATATTTACATTTACGAAGCAAAAACACAAAAAACTATTCACGTCCGTATCAAAGTAAAATGTCAAATCTTCTCTTCAGCTGTACTTTTTTGTTGTCACAATAAAAGCAATAAAAAAGGTTTTTACTTAATTAATTAAACACCTGTGTTATTTCTGCTGGTTAATGTGGGTCTTTCTTTCACTGATCATGCTGTAAGACTTACAGCTCTGCTGGGAAAATTCCATTTGCACAAAGCCAGAAGCACCTCCTCTAATCTAACTTCAGACAGCTCGTCATACATTAAAACCGCTGTGTGATCCCCTCCCTGTCAGAGCCCCTACAGCACACGCGTCCCAGAGTGACATGGTGATTACTTTTAATAAGGCAGGGCCACAAATTAATATATTAAGGCCACAAGTAACTATACTGAACCTATGAGTTAATATACTGAGGCTACAAATTAACATATTGAGGCTATACATTAATATATAGAGGCCACAAGTTACTGAGGCTACAAATGAATATATTGAGGCAATGTGTTAATATATTGAGGCCACAAGTTAATATATTGAGGCTACAAATTAATATATTGAGGCAATGTATTAATATATTGAGGCTACAAATTAATATACTGAAGCCACTAGTTAATATATTAAGGCCACAAGTTAATATACTGAGGCTACAAATTGATATATTGAAGCTACAAATGAATATATTGAGGCCACAAGTTAATATATTGAGACTAAAAATGAATATATTGTCGCCATGTATTAATATATTGAAGCTACAAATTAATATATTGAGGCCACAATTTAATATATTGAGGCTAAAATTAATATATTGTGGCCATGTAATCATATATTGAGGCTACAAATGAATATATTGAGGCCACAAGTTAATATATTGAGGCTACAAATGAATATAATAATGTCATGAGTTGGCCTAAATATATTAACTTGTGGCCACGCCTTATTAAAAATAGCTCTTTTCCTTTTTTTGGTGTCCCCTTGCTGTTGCTGTATTATATAATTTGTGTTTTTTTTCTAAAAAGAGAAAGAAAGAAAGAAAGAAAGAAAGAAAGAAAGAAAGAGAGCTGTAGATTAGCGTGGCTTTACCTCGGCTGTGTCTGTGTCGGTGATGAGCGTCGCCTGGCGGGAGGAGGGCGGAACTACATCCGAGTGATCGCGGCGGTGAAAAATCTTCTCGGCCGAAGAGAATCCGATCAGGAGGGCGATCAGCCGCGCGAGGACCGGCATCGTTAAAGAGACAGAGAGCGCGAGAGAATATCTGTTGTAGTCTAATGTATAAGCGGGTCTGACAGGCGCGAGCTGTGGGACCGTTTATAAAGGAACACCGCGTCACACGCGCTTCCTTTGAAGTCAAAATTCAAACAGAGACTCGCGCTCACAGCGAGGCGCGAAAATAGTACACGTGTAGCAGGACGGCTCGTTAATCATATACTTATAATAACTACATTACCCATAAGTATCACGCGGTCATCAAACCGGATAAAGCGCGGGTTTATTTTTGTTTACTTGTATTATTCTGTCTCTATATTCGCTTCTGTTTCTGAATATAATAATCCACCAACCTATTACAACGTTAGATAAAACAAATTAACTATAAATTACGTTATTTACTTAATATAAAGGACCTAGCTAACTAGCTAGCTGTCGCCTAGCAACTTGAGAGGAAAATGAGTTCGGCTAGGCGGAGTGATACCGCCATATCCAACAAGCTGTCCGATTGTGTTTTTCTTGTAAATTGGATAATACTAATATTTACTTATATACTAATATAATACTTATATGTATGATTATTTTTATATGAGCGTTATTTGTTTATTTATCGTGAGGTTCTCAGCTATTTCAGGATAAAGCGGCCGTTGCTGTTAAAAAAGGTGTTTCGCTCGGCGGAGGGATACAGAACGCAGCCCCTGCGCTGAGTCGACCGTGTTTGTGAATCAATCACCTGCAGACGAGGCCACGCGCCTCACACCTGCACGCAGACGCACCTGCGTTCTTCTCACACCTCATTGCCAAAGGCAAAGGAAGTTAGCGCGATTTTAAGGGGAACTTCACCAGTTTTTCAAAAAATTGCATAATCCTTAAAACAGAGAGAGGTTTGGTGTGAAATGGTTCAGATGTCTTTACAGTGGTGGTGATAGGAACCAGGGGTCGCCATGACTACAACACAAATATAGACATTTTATTTACTATCCAGAACCACCAGTGAACCTACACGAGTCTTCTGGGTTTATATGGAATGTTGATGATGGAAAATAGTGAAAAATCTGAAATAATAAGTTTTCTTTGGGGACTATTTTGCCTCACAGCGCCCTGCATGTATCCCTCCACCATGAATGGATTAAAACAAATGGATTAAAATACATTTTAAGCCAAAACTAATACAACATGTCAGACATCAGGCAGTGAATTCATAACCATTTCATGTAGTAACTTTCTGTGAGGGAGCTTTTAGAGGTGGACGTCTGGTTCCTATCACCACCACTGTGAACAGTTCTGACTCGGTAAGTTTCTCTAGAACAGAGCATTTCACACCAAACCACTCTGAATGACTCTGTTTACAACTTAACCATTTAATTATGTAGAATTTTTTGAAAAAGTTCTCCTTTAAGTCTAACAAATCCTTAAGAAAATGTCCAGTTACACAAACATGAAAACAGATGATAATAATAATAATAATAATAATAATAATAATAAATAAATAAACTTTGCTTTTGGTTGGTCATTTTTGCTTTCATTTAGTTATTTTCTAAATATATTTTTATTGTATTTTTTTTAGTATTTTTATTAATTATTTTCATCTTACCTATTTTAAAATTCACAATTCTTATATTATTTAAAAAATTATTTTATCTTTTTTTTTTTTAACTGTTTAACCTACTAATTTAAAACCATCAAAAAAACATGGTTATTTTCAGCCTTTTGTTCTCTGTTGTAATGCTCGGCTTCAGTGCAGATGAGAGCCGCCCTCAATGCACTTAGAGTATATTTAAGATTGATTGATTGATTGATTGACATACATATTTCAGTGTTGGACACATACAGTGGCATCTCCAGTGCACATATTTCTCATCTGGAAAAACAAACATAAGTGTTTTTTCATAAGTAAGATACATTTCACATATATTGTTTTATTCCAAAATGTATTTCAAACACTGAAGTACAAATAAACACAAAAAAGACAAATTTCTTACATTGTCAGACGTGTTTATTTTCAGGACGGCTTCTTTCAAATGAAAACAAGTGCACAAACAAACATATGTAAAAGTGTCTCTTTACTTAATTTCGCTTCCCGACAGGCACTTAACAGGAAGTGTGCTTTGACCAGGACTGAGAGAAACTAGAGGAAAGAGAAGCATCACTTATTTTCAGCAAAACACTGATATAAGATTTTACGGAACACATTCAGTGCAGACAAATCAAGAGGACAGTAGCCACACGTTGTAAATGCATATTTGCACATATAATAATAATGCAGTCATGTGAAACTGGAACACTACACATCAGTGGATTTAGTGCTAAATGTAACTCTCCAAATCAGTGTGTCCCAGTTCCAGTATGTCCACCTGCACTACACACGTCTGTGTTTTCCTACTCTAACTCATCTGATTCAGCTCCAGAAAGACTTGACCTTTAGCTAATGATGTCAGTCAGGTGCAGCAGCAACAACAACAAGACATATACCTGTGCAGTGCAGGTAGACTACTGTGCTGGAACTGGAAAACACTGACCTAAATGACTCCTTTACCTCATCCATGCCTTAAATTCTACCACTTTTTAAAAATTCTGTGTAATTCAGTGTTTAAAATGTAAACAGAGAGATTCAGAGTGGTTTGGTGTGAAATGGTTCAGATGTCTTTACAGTGGTGGTGATAGGAACCAGGGGTCGCCATGACTACAACACAAATATAGACATTTTATTTACTATCCAGAACCACCAGTGAACCTACACGAGTCTTCTGAGTTTATATGGAATGTTGATGATGGAAAATAGTGGAAAATCTGAAATAATAAGTTTTCTTTGGGGACTATTTTGCCTTGCATGTATATTTAAAAATATGTTTTATGGCCAAAGCTTATTTTCAAACTATCATAAAACAGTGTCTCAGACATCAGGCAGTGAATTCATAACCATTTCCTGTAGTAACTTTCTGTGAGGGAGCTTTTAGAGGTGGACGTCTGGTTCCTATCACCACCACTGTGAACAAATCGGTAAGTTTATCTAGAACAGAGCGTTTCACACCAAACTACTCTGAACGGCTCTGATTACATCTTAACCATTTAGTTATGCAGAAATTTTGAAAAATTGGTGGAATTCTCCTTTAACTAATAAACAATCCAGTGTGTAATACCTAAATCTTCTTCCTCTGGACGGAGTGTACTGATGCTGTGGCTCGTAGGTCAAAGGTCAGAGGCGGCTGAGCTCAGGGCCTGTGCGATGCCCTTGGCGAGGTGCTGTGGGGTTGGTTTCTCCGCTGAGCAGCCCACCGTCAGGCCCTCTGCCTCCAGAGCGTCTGCTGTGGTGGGGCCTATTGCAGCAAACTGCAGGAGCATGAGTCAGTGAGTTTAATTTAGCCTTGGTTTGGATTCCAACTGCTTCATAAACACTAAAATCTACTTTAATACCTTTTTAATTTTATATATTAATTCCTTAATAAGGGTCGATTAAACCTTATACTTAATTCAAAATAGTACAAAGACAACATATCAAATGTTGAAAGTGAAAAATTTAATTGTTCTTTGAAAAATATATGCCCATTTTGAATTTGATGCCAGCAACACATTTTAAAAAAGTTGGACATGGGCAAAAAAAGGCTGGTAAAGTTGTGTAATGCTGAAAAAAAAACACCTGGTGGCATCCCAGAGAGGCTGAGTCTATCAGAGGTAAAGATGAGGAGGGGTTCACCACTCTGTGAAAGACTGCACCATCAAATAGTGCAACAATTCAAGAATAACGTTTCTTTACGTAAAATAGCAAAGAACTTCGGGATTTCATCATTTACAGTACATAATAACATTAAAAGATTCAGAGAATCTGGAGAAATCTTTGTATGAAAGGGACAAGGCCGAAAACTAATATTGGCCGCCCATCATTTTTGGGCCCTCAGACGGCACTGCATTAAAAACAGACATGATTCTGTAGTGGAAATCTCTGAATGGGCTCAGGAACACTTCTGAAAACCACAGTTAGTCGCTGCATCCACAAATGCAAGTTAAAACTCGATCATGCAAAGAAGAAACCAAATATAAACAGGATCCAGAAATGCTGCTGCCTTCTCTGGGCCTGAGCTCATTTAAGATGAATTGCGGTGAAGTGGAAAAGTGTCCTGTGGTCCAACAAATCAGAATTTTAAATTCTTTTTGGAAGTCATGCACAATGCGTCTTCCAGGCTAACGACCACTCAGCTTGTTATCAGTGCACAGTTCCAGATGACTTTTTTCAGGGAAGGCGTTGATTATTTCATCAAGACAATGAATGCATGTATTACAGCAGCATTGCTCTGTATTTAAAGAGTCCAGAGGCTAAACTGACCTGCCTGCAGTCCAGACCTGTCACTCATTGAAAACATTTGACATATTATATACTGAAACATACGACAAAGGAGACCCTGAACTGTTGAGCAGCTGAAATTTGATATATTAAGCAAGAATGGGAAACATTTCACTTTCTAAACTACAGCAGTGTCTCTTTAGTTCCCAAACACTTACAGAGTGTTGTTAAAGAAGAGGTGATGCAGCACAGTGGTAAACAGGCCCCCGTCCCAACTTTTTTGGAATGTGTTCCTGGCATCAAATTCAAAATGAGCATGTATTTTTCAAAAAACAATAAACATTTCTCAGTTTCAACTTTGTACTATTTTAAATTAAATATAGGGTTTAAAAGATTTGCACATCATTGCATTCTGTTTTTATTTACATTTTTTACAGCGTCCCAACTTTTTTTATGCTAAACTTTTGAACAGTAGTGTTCATGGCTTTAGGCTCTGGAGGAAAACGGTGCAAATGTTGAAATGTTGCTTTAACATATGAAATACATGCTAATACATAATAAAATACCAAAAGTTGTGGCCCCTAGCAAAGTTACATCAGACGCTATATCTACTAATTTCACTGCAAGACCTGCAAGACTGCACATCAGTTAGCATGAGGTTGATTGTAAATAAACAGTGCTGAATTTCCCAAAAAGCACTGCAGCACAAAGACTCCTGTAAAATGGCAAAGTGAGCTTTGACTTTGAACTCTTTCTCTAACACTGGGGTGTCAACCCTGGAACCTGCAGAGTTACAGTACTACAGAGTTACTGTGAGTTGCTGTGTTCCTGTCGTGAACGCCTTGTCAATTAGCTGATGAGTTGAATCAGCTGTGTTAGGGCAGAAAAACTAATGAACTCTGCAGTGATGTGACCTCCAGCACCAGCGTCTTACTGCAATATCAGCTGCCCCTTAATGTATGAAAGCTGCTATTTAAAAAAAAATAGTTTATAATAATCATTACTAGGGACTGTCGTAGAGGTGACATAGATCAATATTATATACAACGTGCAGAACTGAGATGTGTTTTCAGAACTAAACCACGTGGTCTAAAGTCTGCAGTGTGGATCTATTTTTAAAACTTGTAATATCTGCTGTGTGAACATAGAAAATGTGAGCACTTGTTAAACTGTGCACTTGAATGAATATGAATGAAATGTGAATTCATTGTGTATTCGCAATGCTCTAAAATGGTCGTAATCATGTTAGACTGTATACCATTAAGCACATATCAAAAAACAAGTTATTGCATGGCAGCATTTTAGGGAGGTCAGCCAAACTTAGCAGACTATCATTACTTACCAAAACTGTGAGCCTATATTATCTATGAAAGTACAAAGATCAGATCTGATCGGTATTGGCTGATACTCAACATTGAACTACTCCGTAAAAACTATATTAGGACACTCTAATAATTACTATTATTATTATTATTATTATTATTAACTCAAAATCAGGCAAAAAGGATATTAATACTCTTGTTAATAATTCTATTGCAATTTAATAAATTAAAACCTTGTTTTATTACCTTAATCTGGTCCAGCTGCGGTCCAGCCAGTCTCTTTAAAGTGTCCAAACAGAACTTCACCCCTGAAGGACTGAAGAAAGCGACGCTGGCAGGCATCCCCTGACAAAGCACAGGATGAAGAGTTGAGAGCAACGCAATAAGAGCAAGTGAAATATACTGTATATAACACAGCCTATATGGAGAAGCAATAACTAAGCACATATAACATGAAAAGCAACAGCGATTTAGCTTCCTAAATATTAGACTGTTGTTTATGGTAGAATTTACTGAATGTTAAAACCTGTTTGGTTGCTGTTTTTTTGTGTGCTCAATGCAATCAACACGTCTGTGAAAGTCAGCAGCACCAATTTGTTGTATTCTGATGAACAAAGCATGAGTTGGCACTGGTTATTTAGAGACAGGGTCTGTATATACTATATATATATATATACATATATATATATATAATATACACATATATATATATATATATAGTTATTTATAAAATCAAATCCTAACTCTAAATATCCTATATATATCTTTTGTTGCTCCTAGATGCTTCCATTTCACAATAATAGCACTTACAGTTGACCAGGGCAGATCTAGCAGGACAGACGTTTCACAAACTGACTTGAGGCAGAGGCGGCATCCTATGACAGCGCCATGTTAAAAGTCACTGAGCTCATCAGTATGACCCTCTACTGTCGGTGTTTGTCTATGGAGACTGAATGGCTATGTGCTTAATTTTATCCACCTGTTAGCAGTGTGGTATTTATATATAGAGTGTGTATTTGAAAGTGAATTAATGGCATCACTTTTTTCAGTATACAACGTTAACTTTAAGAAAAACATTTCATATAAACAGACAGTCAGAAGTAATTCATTCAGGCTGCACTCAATTCAGGTTATTCAGTCCAGTAATAAGTACACTAGCCAGACAGCACTGTATAAGGCCAGAAACATACTCAACGCAAGGACGCAAATGCAAATGTGAACGCTAGGTCAACGCATTGCAAACGCTCGGTCCTTCTGTACAAACTCACCGCGCGTTCTTACGTTGCTGTGGAGGTTAAAACACTCAGTATTGAAGGCGGCACTAGAGTACAGATCAGAGAGGGATCTACTGTTATTCCAGCAGCCTCAGCAGCTAAACGTGGACAGTAGAGGAGAGTGAGCTGCTTTACCTCTTCTGTTGGATTGGAAATGCGATAGTCAATCATATTTTTATGCCATCTTTGCGTGAGACTTAAGTGGTCATCTGCTATGGCAGTTGAGAAAGCACGCTGGCGGTACAAGACCGCATGGTCAGGTTTGGCTGTCGTTATAGCGCCCCTTGCTGTGACGCTCAGAATGCTGCTTGCGCTTGCGTCGCATTATGAATTGCGTCGTGACACAGTTTTGAACGCAACTACGTGTGAACCCCCGTCTGTGTAGCTTGAAGCGTCTGCGTTCGCGTCCTTGCGTGGAGGCCTAAGGCGCCCAACACATCGATCGCGATTGACCAGTTGATCACACAATGCATGCTGGTAGATCACGCCTCATTCAAACAGGCTATCAAATTTCAACACTTTCTAACTGCTTCTGGCGGTGACGTAAAATATGGCCACTGTCTCTTTAATTTACTGCATGTTACCATAGCTACGCCACAGCCAGCCTACAGCCAGGGTTACACTACACGGCTTTTACACCGATTTTAGCCCCGATTCTCAGTCTGGCCAAGTCTGCGCTGGTCAGCTCTAGTCTGCAGATTTTTGGGTCAGTTGGAGTCGACAATTGGAGAGAGAGTCGAGTCGTGTTTGAGGGGCTCAGACTCAGATTTTTTGGCCTCCTGATTGCGTATCAGACCAGTCAGAGTTTATCAAACAGGTTTTTGTGACCCGACTCTGAGTGAAATCTAGTGTAAACTGATCAATGTCTCAATCTGAATGGATTCCTGCAACAACCAATGAAAACAGAGATGTGAAAGAAGAAAAAACAGCAAGTACACAAAGACAAATGGTGAAAAGTCTCTCACGTGATCTGAGCTGAGTTTAAGGCATGAGCACAAGACAATTTATGTGTTTATGTACATTTAAAACTGAAAAATACCAACTGATCCACTTAAACACGTTTACCTGCTACTTCTTTACTGTTTCAGCGCAAACGGCAGAGAAAACAGCAGCAGCTCCATGTTTGTTTATTTGGGTCTCCTAGTAACAGGAGAACATGCGAGTTCGCGAGAGTTTGCGCGAGTTCAGTGAGCTCCGTTTGGTTCAGCAGAAGATGAAAAGTTGAGTAGTGTGTGATCCCTAATTGTTTAGTATGTGTGATCCCCAATATTTCAGTCGCCCAAAAAAATCTGATCTCATAGTGTGAGACATCCAGAAAATGACTCAGAAAATGAGTGCGAGACCTAACACAAAGAAACCATGCAGAGCGCGAGGGGGACTGTTTTTTCACAATGTCAATCCCCAAATGCATCTGCTTAATTTGCCAAGTAGCCATCGCTCTTCCAAAGAAGGGGAACGTTGAGAGGCTTTTTTTAACTATACACAGAAACTACGATGACGAATTCCCAGCTAAAAGTGAACTCCAGAAGAAGACAGTGGTCCAGACTAATGTTACACAAACCTGCCGACACCATTCAGTGCAAATCATCAGAATAAGGTTAGTGTGATTTTTTTTAGTTTGGCCTGTAATGCTATCAATATAGGCCAATGAAGTGCGTTTAAAAAGTTTCACAGCCTTTTTTTTTGAGGTAGATCAGGATGACCTGTCCACTGGAAAACGTAGATCTAAAGCCACAAAAGTATGGGCTCCCCTGTGATAAGCTAACCTACAACACATGCATGTATTCAGCTGCAGTACATGCCAATGGCAGATTTTCACCATGAAGTGCAATTGATGGTTTGTTGATGATGGCTGACTGTCTCACTTTCCATAGCTGAGGTGGTCAGAGGAGTGGGCAGTGGCCAGCCTCAAGCTAAAATACGGACCGATCCTGAAATTCAGTCGCGGGAGGTTAGGGAACCAGCCCTGTGACCGGAAGGTCGCCGGTTCGATCCCCTGAGCCAACAGTACGTGACTGAAGTGCCCTTGAGCAAGGCACCTAACCCCCAACTGCTCCCCAGGCGCTGCGGGCAAGTGTGCTCACTGCCCTCTAGGCCCTCTCGTGTGTGTGTTCACTAGTGTGTATGTGGTGCTTCACTGCACGGATGAATTTCCCCGTTGTGGGACTAATAAAGGCAAACTTAACTTAAAATTGCAGTGTATGCCTGGCTTGAAACAACAGTGTGATCAGATTTTTGCCTTTTTTTGTCTTTTTTGTCTTTGCCAAACTTCATCAACTTCATCAGGGCTTTACCTTTACCTGGTTATTAAAATAGTGAGTGATGTTTTTCTCCAGGTCAGGATGTTCAGCCGTCTGATAGACTGTGAGGGTCTCCAGAGGGATTTCTGAAAGAGAGAGAAAGAGAGAGAGAGCTAATGCTCTTCATGTCATACAGCATGATTAGAAACAGGGCTGTAATTAGTACTGGACCCAGGGGGATTGTGACACCACCAGCTTCAGCACACTGCAGCACAGAGAGAACAGACGCTATTCAATTACACGCACACACGCACTCTTGAGCGCACGCCCTCGCACGCGACCGCTGATTCGCAGAGATACCGCAAATAGAGTTATGTTGGAGATGTTTTTCAGACTCTCTAATTAACCACAGAAGCAGATGTCACGGCAAAAATAATATCTGGCACGCCAACAAAGTAACAAAGGCCTCTAAATAATATTATGTACATTTATAACCACAAGCTTAATAGATACATGCAAACCAGAAGCTGATATGAAAATATCTTCGGCATTCAGGCGTCTCACGTTTACAGCAGTCACTGAACTGAGCTAAAACATTTATTTTCACAAATCTGACCGTTTTGTCTGAGCGCGGTGGGCAGCACTTCTCTCTTCAGCGAGCCGCAGGGAAACAGCAGAGGCAGGATCGCCGGATCTTCTCCTGGGTTCAGCAAAAAACAAGCAAGAAAATGGATTTTTATTTTGCTGAGAAAGAAGAACATGTGTAAATTTGTCTTCTGCGCTGCTCCGTTCACTGACTGTACTCTGTTGTGTTTAGATAAAACATAGAAAAATGCTGAGATGATATGTACACTAGTGCCTGCTCTGTACAGTGATGTGCCCATATAAACCTAATCAAAAATCTAAAGCATCGCTACAGGAGTCTCTACACTTCAATTAAGAGCCACTACACTTCGACTAAAGATTACAGTAAAACAATAAACCTGTTTTTTATATAATGTGATATGAGGAATTATGCTTTATATGGCCAAATTTTACTTATGGGTTTACTTTTTAAACTTACTTTTTACTTTTTAAATGCTCCAAAGGTCAATTTATAATAGTAGTACTGAGTAAGTGGCTATAAATGTTCAGCTCATACAATAAAATAATTATTAAAAATAAAACAGAAAAAATACATGTTAATGCATTTTTGAATAACTTTATATTTCAGTAATTACTGCAGTTAGATAGTGCTTTACTGCAGGTGCTAATTCCTGGGGTGGGGGTGTACATAGTTAAGGTGCACAAGAGCTGTCAATTATAGCTCTTAATTAAAGCTCCAATTAACATTAAAATTGATTCTGTTGTGTTGTTTTGTTTAGATATTGTCGAAGAAAGAAGAGCCAACTGTGGAATAATTTCCAGCACTCTTTCATGTACTTTCATTGTTTGAACAGTTATTAATAGTCCTTCCTTTATTCTGTTAATTATCACCCAATTTATCATTATTGGGGGATATAAGATATTCATAATGCAGATCAGACTAAGAAGTTTAGTGACACAATGGAAATAAAAACACCACTGCAATCGACAATGAAAATGAATCTCTATACTGAATATGTATGATATTCATATTATTTGTTTTTGTGTTTTGATGCTGGCACATAAAGCTTCAGATATCAATATGATTGTATAATGATAAGTATAATTGTAGGTGTACTTTGTTTATCCATTTTTATATCTGAATTGCTGTATGAAAGCTATAGCCTCCTGATGTTAGGCCCCCACTGCATTTGCACCCCTGAACTTTACTACATTAACATACATGATAGCTGCATTCAAAAGCCGAGGCTGCAGTCGAGGTAGGGCGGGTCCTCGGTAGGACTGTCCTATGAAGACTCCTCCTTAGTGGCCTATCGGTCACACAAATGGATCAGTCCTAACGAGGGTGCGTGGTGACGCCACCAGAACGGCGCCAAACTCGTGAGGGAGCTGGTGAGAGAAAATAGAGCCCGTCGCTTTGAGTTTGTTGCTTTTTTCACTTCTTCACGGAAATGGAGGAGATGATCTTATGTATTTCTTATCTGAACTACATACATCAGGATTAAGATTAGATTAAGTCCCACAATGGGGAAATTTCACCTCCGCATTTTAACCCATCCGTGCAGTGAAACACCACATACACACTAGTGAACACACACACTAGGGGGCAGTGAGCACACTTGCCCAGAGCGGTGGGCAGCCCTATCCACAGCGCCCGGGGAGCAGTTGGGGGTTAGGTGTCTTGATCAAGGGCACCTCAGTCACGTACTGTCGGCTGAGGGGTTCGAACCAGCAACCTTCCGGTCACAAGGCTGCCTCCAGAATTGTGGGTAACTGAAGGCCTGGAAGGATACATCTGATGCGTCCTTTAAGTCACTCAGAATGTAGGCTGCATTTCTAGGCTGTATGTGAAGCATGCTTCAATTTGGAACAGCCTTCTATGATGTAGCAGCCGAGAAATGCAGCCTAGGCTTTGGAACACAGCTATTGTACCAATGAGAGCGGGGCTACCCAGCATTCTATGCCCAGAATGTTTTACCTTAATTTTCATCAGTTCTCTTCTTAGAAAAATATTTCAGCACTGTAACTTGTTACAGCATGTTACTCTCAGGCTAAAGGCCAGGTTTGGATATATTTCATGTGTTTTTGTTAATTTAACCATGCCAACTAGGCTAACCAGGCTAACCAGCCTCACCAGGCTAACTAGGCTATAGTACAGTAATACAGGCTAGTGACTATTATTGGGCTCATCAGTGGCACAACTGTCAAAGTGATGCCCCAAATAAACACTAGAGGCTAATACTGCAAGAACGATTAACAAACAATATGTTGTGTGACCTTATAAAATGATTCAGCCAGTGTCCAGCAACAAAACATTAATAATGTTTAATAATCTGATTCTAAATAAATACTAATGATTTCTTGTATAACTATGTTTTATCTCCGGTCTGTAAAGCACTTTGAGCTGCCACTGGCATGAAAAGTGCTATATAAATAAACATTATTATTATTATTATTATTATTATTATTATTATTATAAAGGCTGTATGAGAAAGATAAAAGCAGAAGAGTAGAGTGGTTCTCACTTTCAATGATGAGTCGAGACAGAACGTCTGCAGTGCCTGTTTGCTCCCCACAGGTGGTCAGACCCAGAGCCTCAACTACACAGGAGATAAAGCAGAAAACATTAGCCTAAACCAGTAAACTGCACATGCACAGGCAGCCCTCCATAAAACATCTGCATTAAACTAACCAAAGGACAGAACCTACACACCAGGAATGCAACTGACTTATATTAGATATGCAAAAATGTTTAACCTCTAACACAAATGTTTAACATATTAAAAAAAACACAAATAAAAATGAGTCCTGCATCCACGGAGCAAAAACATTTAACCTATATTGATTATACAAAAACATAACACAGAAATGTTTGAGAAATGAGACATTTAACCCACATCAAAGAAAAGTTTATTTTTAAAAATCACACATTATTCTGTATCAAATAAGCAAATACATTTAAAATATAAAAAAACATAAAAATATTCTGCATAAAATATACAAATACATATAAAAATACATCTAACCCATATCAAATATTTAATCCATAATTTTTTTTAACAAAAATATTCTGCATCAAATAAACAGAAACATTTAACCCTAAAAAATAAATTTAATTTATTTTACGAAATCACAAGTATATTCTGTCATATAAACAAAAGCATGTAACCCTTAAATATATACATATTTATTTTATGAAATACAATAAGAATATTTTGAGTCAAATAAACAAGCATTTAACCCTTAAAAAAGCATACCTATTTAATTTATTTTCAGAAATCACATAAAAATATTCTGCATCAAGTAAAAAAAGCATTTAACCCTTAAAAAACAAAAATATTTAATTTATTTTTTAAAATCACATCAAAACACTCAAAAACATTTAACCCATATCCAAAAAAATATGTAATTTATTAAAAAAAACACAAAAATATCCTACATCAAATAAACGAGTGTTTCATGCACATCAACGAAATGATTTTATTTATATAAAAAAATCACACCATACCTGTCAGCTTCATCTGATACTCATATTCATCACTATAACAGCTCACTGTAGCCCTTTATACTTGTCATAACTGCGTATCAATGATTTTAAATAACAATTAATAAACTAATGTTAAACCATTAATAAACACATTATAAAAGTAGTTGTATTATAAAGTGTTAACCAGGTATGTTTTTAAAAGAGGAAAGATATCCTACAAATAAGGATGATTTAGCCAATATAATCAGCTCTGAAACATTTTAAGCAGTTTATGCAAAAGAGTTTCAATTAAACACAGAAAAAAAACTGTTACTGCAACCTTTAATCTGTCAACAAACCAGAACAGGCGACAAAAATCTCCGACCTGTGAGATCTCCCTCCTGTTTACCGACACCTGGCTGCTCCCTGAAGAGCTCCTCAGGTGCTGCAGCAGTCGGAGCTGCTGTGAGCTGATGATTGTAAAGGAGGAATAAAAACACAGCTTGTGGTGAATCTGTTTCCAGCTGCAGCTGAAAAGAAGTAATACATTCCTGCAGGTGCGTTCGCAGAGAGGCACACACACTCAAGGCCACTCTAATTAGCAGCTCATTAGCTAATGTACTAAAGAGGAACGCAGCAGGGACGTGTGAATCCCACCAAGGTGTAACTGTCTGCCACCGCGCTTCAGAAGAAACAGCCTGAGTGGCTCTGTAATTCAATTTACAGCCAGCTTGATGCAACAGCTATTAAAGTCACTGTACATTAGCCAGATGTAGTAGAGAACAGGGCGTATGTCGTTAGTGCTAACGTTAATGTTTTACACTGAAACTTCACTCACAGTATAGAACTGAAAACATCTGAAGAGCTGTTTGTATGGAGGAATCAGAGAATGTATGAATATAAACTCAGGGCTGAAATAAGCTTGTTATAAAGTGTTCATGTGATAAATTATTAACGCCACGCAATTTTTAATTAAAACACATTAAAACATATTTTATGTTGAAAAAGAAGTTGTTAAATATTTCCATGCACTAACAGCTCCACACACACAAACACATTTAGAGGATAAAGACTCAGATTTGGGTCTTTATCCTCTAAACGTGCCTCAGTTTGGTGTTAGTGAGCCAGAGTTGCTAGTGGTTTAGCCGTTACCTCTGATGCTGACTGGGATATGAATTAAAAGTAGCTTTAGCTGACAGGTCTGCACACAAACACAGGTTTACCCGCTCAGATTTGAGTCTTTATGTGCAAAACTTGCATCAGTCAATGATGCAATGTGTGAAGCTGTTTAGGCTTTTTGCTAAGCTAACGTTAGCTTCTAATGCTAACGAGGATGCTAAAATAAAAAACGCTTTAGCTAACAGCTCTACACACAAAAGAGTTTTACACAGATTTACTCGCTCAGATTGGAGTCTTTATCCTCTAAACGTGTCTCAGTACGGCGTCAGCGAGCCAGAATAGATGACAGTTTAGCTGCTAACCTCTGACACTAACCAGGATATAAATTAAAAGTAGCTTTAGCTAATGGACCTGAACACAAAAGCAAAGTTTTACCCGCTCAGATTTGAGTCTTTATCCTCTAAACCTGCCTCAGTACGGTGTCAGCGAGCCAGAATCACTAATGTTTTAGCCGCTAACTGGGATATGAATTAAAAGTAGCTTTAGCTGACAGCTTTGTACACAAAACACGGTTTTACCCGCTCAGATTTGAGTCTTTATCCTCTAAACCTGCCTCAGTACGAAGTCAGTGAGCCAGAACCACTAGTGGTTTAGCCGCTAATCTTTGATGCTGACTGGGATAGACTTAGCTAACAGCCCTGAACACAAAAGCACAGTTTTACCCGCTCAGATTTGAGTCTTTATCCTCTAAATGTGCCTCGGTTTGGTGTCAGTGAGCCAGAATTGCTAGTGGTTCAGCCGTTACCTCTGATGCTGACTGGGATATGAATTAAAAGTAGCTTTAGCTAACAGCTTCGCACACAAACACGGGTTTACTCGCTCAGATTTGAGTCTTTATCCTCTAAACTTGCCTCAGACAACGAGTTGAAATGAACCTGCATGGTTGTGTGTGAAGCTGTTTAGGCTTTTTGCTAAGCTAACGTTAGCTTCTAATGCTAACGAGGACGCTAAAGCAAAAAATGCTTAAGTTAACAGCTCCAGACACAAAACACAGATTTTTTCACTCAGATTTGAGCCTTTATCCTCTAAACTTGCCTCAGCGAGCCAGAATAGATGATAGTTTAGCTGCTAACCTCTGATGCTAACCAGGATATGAATTAAAAGTAGCTTTAGCTAACGGCCCTGAACACAAAAGCAAAGTTTTACCCGCTCAGATTTGAGTCTTTATCCTCTAAACCTGCCTCAGTACGGCGTCAGTGAGCCAGAATCGCTAATGTTTTAGCCACTAACTGGGATATGAATTAAAAGTAGCTTTAGCTGACAGCTTTGTACACAAAACACGGTTTTACTCGCTCAGATTTGAGTCTTTATCCTCTAAACTTGCATTAGTGAACGAGTTGAAATGAACCTGCATGGTTTGTGAGTGAAGCTGTTTAGGCTCTTCACTAAGCTAACATTAGCTTCTAATGCTAACGAGGATGCTAAAGCAAAAAATGCTTTAGCTAACAGCTCCACACACAAAACACAGGTTTACTCGCTCAGATTTGAGCCTTTATGTGCAAAACCTGCATCAGTCAATGAGCCGAAATGAACCTGCATGGATGTGTGTGAAGCTGTTTAGGCTTTTTGCTAAGCTAATGCTAGCTTCCAATGCTTACAATGACATTAAAGCAAAAAAAAGCTTCAGCTAACAGCTTCACACACAGAAACAGTCTGATGTGCTGTATCTGGACAAAAAATTGCTGGCCATGGCTGTAATATAACAAAATGCACTGCTTTTCAAGTTAAATTTGAGCAAAGAAAACAAATGTGGGTAATCTTGGTGAACTACACAAAGCCGTATTAATCATTTTAATATTCTGACAGCCCAAAATACTATATAAAGGCAGAAAATGCATTCATTTATTTACTAGATTTCATAATTAACTAAGTAATGGAAAACTCCGAGTGAGTTATTAACATCGCAGCTGTGATTCAGTGGCACGCACACGCTGTAGGCAAGTACAACAGATCAGATTTTATGTGCGATAATGCACATCTCAACTGTTCTGAAGACAAATGTAAAGCAAAGAAGCCTGAACATTGTATCAAATGAGCTTAAATACAGGACACTTTTTGTGCCACAAAATGTAATAGGGTCATTTTACAGAAACGTCTATTTTTGTGTCCCTAGCGTTCACAGATATATTACACTATAAAAACATGTTAGGGTTACAGTTATTTATATTTAAAAAAAACAATAAGTTATTTTAACAATTACACCTCAATTTAGCAATATTGGTTTTTAAATCAATCATATAGAATTCCAAACACCACAGAAGAGCTCGTCCCCAGAGTCATGTGTGAAGGCTGAGGCCATATTTTGAAGAAAAAAACATGTTTTTCTGCAATTTTAACTACAACACTCTATACATGACTATGGAATATATAAATTAAATCACATAAAGAAAACAAATGCCAAATCAATATTTTAAAATATACAGGGACATTCACTCGAAAGAGGCCCCGAGTTTTCTGTAATAACTCTCGCTGGGATGAAGCAATCTGAACGAAACAACGTGCAGTGAGCTCCTCAGTATATGGAGCTTTGAACAAGCCAGGATGCCCCTGCGTCAGAGCGGTGAGGTAGGCGCCGGACAGCCGTTGCGACGTTTAACCTCCGTTTGCAACTTCCGGGTGCATAACCCTGACCCCCTTCATGTGTCTGGCAGAAAATGGAGATCACTTCCAGCATCGCATGTAATGCAATCGATTACACAAATGTCAAGGTATGTAGCGTATTTTTTTGGTTCAGATAAGTCCACCGTGTCTTTCAGTTATCAGAGATTCTCATTTAGCTCATGATTTCATATGAAGCTTTTAGCTGAAGTCACTGGTGTGACCGACTTTATTCTGAGGTCATTGTGAAAAAATAGAACAAATGGATTAAATTCCATATTTTAGTGGATATTCCATGATTGACAACATGTGGTTTGATGTTCTGTAGCAGTTATTTTGTAAAATGTATTTTTCTTTAAAAATGTCTCTGGTGTTACGTTTATTATGTGTAACACCAATGAGGATCAGTAACACCAGTGACTCCTATGGAGAGATAGAAAAGTGGACGTTTCTGTAGAATGACCCCTTTACGTACATTTAGAACCATAAAACTGTGAATATCAGGTTCAGCTCAGCTTTTTTTCCAGATGAAGCTGAATGTAGTTTTTGTTCAGTCAGTCTGTAAAGTGATTTGAGCTCATCTTGTTTGCTGAATTATATTCTGTTTGTTTCTGGCTGATTCCAGTTTGTGAAGTTGTTCAGCTGCTGACCGAAAAGCTGAATCTGATGTTGACCAGCTGGTTCACTCTCTTCAGAATCGGACCAAGCAGGCTGCAGGTCAAATATCATCTCATAGAAGTTATCTAATGTGTCCGTTGTATAACCCTTTCTGGCACGCATAGAGAATTTTATTCAAAATACCAGATTTATTGATATGAACAAGTTACAAACCATTAAACTAAAATAGATTTTGGGTGAGATTTTCCAGGTTCAGTGTCAAAGGTCATTTCTGAGGCGTTTTTTTTAAGTAATCACTGCATTAAGTCGTAGATTTCTCCATGTGATTATGTGTTTGCCCAAATGCACTGTGGTTACTCTGGGTAATCACCAATTTTTAGCCATGTGACCCTCTATTTCACATATATTCTCAGTGGTTACTTGGCAAAACAACCACATTTTGGCCTTATAAAATGCATATATTATTTTTTTAATTATTATTTTGTAAATTCTCATTCTATAGCATGTTATCTACAATTAAAACATACAAAACCAACCTGGATAACCTGGTAAGCAGTTTGGGACAGGCTCCTCCAACAACCATGCAAACCCAGTTTTGCAGAAAAAGCTACAGTTCCTACATCACTTCCTGTGTGCTACTGTTTAACTGTCCCAAGAACAGCATTGAACTTTTTTTCAGAAAATGTAGTGGTTACCTCTTTAAACACTGATGCAAATTGAGAAATGAGAAAAAAACATATTAGCCCTATTCACTATGAACTGCTCTACAGCTCCCTGAATGCACTGCAATGTAACGTGTGCTCCCACCCCCTCCTCAACAATGATATATAGGACAGCACCACAAAAACAAAACAAAACAAAAAAACAATGCGAGGTGTCCAGTTCAAGCGAATTGGCAGTTATAAAAAACCTACTGTTCACTGAGGACATTTAAAGAGGTTTAACAGTGATCTGCAGCTAATGTGGTCTGTTTTGTACATTTTGTTTTTACTTAAAATTATTTTTGAATTGTGCAAGTATTCAGTGCCTGTTTTTTGCTGTTGTAATTTTTGCATATTTTGAAAAAAACAATGGCGAAATATTAAGTAAAAATAAAATAAAAACACAGCTGGCCCACAGATTAGTTGAGATTTTTTAAAACGGCCCTTTTAGTGGTTGAGTTTGACAACCATGCCTTAAAGGGATGAAAGGAGTTTAGGGTTGATCATCAAAAGAAAGTAGCACCCCATTACCACAGCTGTTCCCAATCCCATGTTCTGCAGATGTTTGTGTTTTCCCTGATTGAACACACCTGACCCAGATCATGGAGGGCTGGATAACAAGTTTGTCAGTGCAGGAAAGATTGAGATACTAATGCATTTTCCACAATTACAACTATTTCTTACCTGCTTTGCAATACATTTACTAAATACCACAAACCACAGACAACAGAGAAGCACTTAGCACTGAATTTTCTACTAGTCTTTCATTAAAAGGCTGGGTTTTGTATAGATGTATATATCAGGCAACAACAGAAGAGTGGCTAACTCACCTAGTGATGCAGTGGCCTTCCCCACCACATACACTGACTTTGTGTTCCACTTGTCTTTTGCAGCGGTCCACTCTGGAAATAATAATAATAAAAAAAAAGTCAGCTTTTTTTAGCTTTATTGCCATGAACACTTATTAACAGGCAATAACGTTATATAACAAATCACCTTGAGGTTGGGCTTCACTTCACTTAACTTCTGGGGCCTTAAGTCTGAAATCTTATCTGCTTAGTCACCATGACAAATTCAGTAAGGACTGAATTTAGGACAGAAGCTGTTACAGAACAGCAGTTCTTAAGTTCATAATCTTGTCCATTAACTCCATATAAGACAACAGTATCACACAAACATCCTAACTAGACTAAACCTCTTAAATACTGTCATAACCTTTAGACAACCCTAGAGGTGTCTTAACTTCAGTTTTAACCATCTGTTTCTATCGTTTTCTAGCAGTAGCATAATGAAGTTAGGTTTATATACATCGATCAGGCGTAACATTATGACCACCTCGTTTCTACGCTCATTGTGCGGTGGTGGATCATTCTCAGCAATGAGGTAACACTGACGTCTTGGTGGTGTGTTGGTGTGTGTTGTGCTGGTCTGAGTGGATCAGACACAGCAGTGCTGCTGGAGTTTTTAAACACCTAAGTGTCGCTGCTGGACTGAGAATAGTCCACCAACCAAAAATATCCAGCCAACAGCGTCCTGTGGGCAGCGTCCTGTGACCACTGATGAAGGACTAGAGGATGACCAACACAAACTGTGCAGCAGCAGATGAGCTATCGTCTCTGACTTTACATCTACAAGGTGGACCGACAAGGTAGGAGTGTCTAATAGAGTGGACAGTGAGTGGACACAGTGTTTAAAAACTCCAGCAGCACTGCTGTGTCTGATCCACTCAGACCAGCGCAACACACACTAACACACCTCCACCACATCAGTGTTACTGCAGTGCTGAGAATGATCCACCACCCAAATAGTACCTGCTCTGTGAGGGTCCATGGGGGTCCTGACCACTGAAGAACAGGGTAAAAGGGGGCTAACAAAGTATCAGAGAAACAGATGGACTACAGTCTGTAACTGTAGAACTACAAAGTGCACCTATATAGTAAGTGGAGCTGATAAAATGGACAATGAGCACAGAAACAAGGAGGTGGTCAGAATGTTATGCCTGATCAGTGTACACTGAAAACAGTGTTTTGAGTTGTAAGGGTTTTTTTCTAACTCTGCGTTTTAAAGATCTCAGACGCTGCAGACTCGATCTCCACCGCCCCTCTGATCACCTTCGTGTGTTAATGTTGATGATGAAATATTACAGTGATGGTGGTGAATAATGAGGAGACGGAGCTGAACGTGTGTCTGTTTATGAGGAGGAGTAACGTTAGCGCGCTCGGCTAAAGCGTTTGGGAAATGGAGACTGAAACTGGGGAGCGGCGACGCTCTGATAAACAGCAGGGGGCGCTCTCAAAGTATTCACAACTTACAGGTTATCACACTTTAGTTTTATTTGGCTTTCTTTACATCAGTAACGTTAGCTAACGTTAGCTGTCTGGCTAACTAGCTTGATTACGTGTTTACGTTTCAGCTGTGCATGTATGGTTGGTTGCTAGGTAACAGACATAACAGTTGATTGTCGACTTTGATCGAGTAAGTTAAGATTTCCTAACTTGAGATGAGATACTGTAAGATAAAATTCCTAAATTAAGATTTGCTTCTGTAATAAGGATATGTGAAGAATCTTATCTTGGCCTGTCAGCTGAACTGTAACACTTATAGTGTACATATATATATGTGTACACTATAAGTAAATATATATATATATATATATATATATATATAAATATATATATATATATATATCGCTGCTGTTGGAAGAAAACCTCATATCTCCAAAATGGTAACTTTACAGGAGAAGGAAAAAACATACTTTACTTTTAATGTAAGTCAACGGAACCAGAATTTTTTCCAAGTCGTTTTGGGCCGTTTCTTTTGGTCCATTCTTCATGAAATTTACACAAATGTAAAGGTACTTTCAAATTATGCCAAAAACGCAAAAAAAAGCAAAAATGGAGATACACACACATATTAACCACACACACACCACACACACACACACACACACACACACACACACACACACACACAGTCTTCAGTCCAGGGTCCTGCAATTTAGATTGGCCACTTCTCTTATGCTGGAGCTGAGCTGACAATCTGATGGAGAACAGTGACACACAGTGGCCGATCTGTATTACTGCTGCAGGTTTTCTATTTTTTTCTGATTCCACAACATATTTTACACAAACAGTTAATGATGCAGCATGTCATTACTAAAATTCAGTATGTGGTGAAAGTGTCCTATGGTGCTAAATGGCTTGTGATGTTTTATTATGTTCCCTTCAAAGTGTTTATTATATTTCCTTTAACACAAAAAAGCCTATTTCTATATATTGTATCTGGTTGGTTCCTGGTTGGAGCTTTCATGAACAAACCACTGACCTTCTCTCCGTGCGCTGGATTCGATGCACATTTTCACGGCTTCGACTGCTCTGGGGCTCGTAAAGATCAGCCCTCCATGCTTCTCTGGCTGAAAAAGCTGCAGGATTAAAGTAAAAAAAAAATTCTCATTAATTCTGCAGCATTATTATGCAGTTCATCTTCAAGAAGATTAAGCACTCTCAGAAATGGTGTGCTAATTTTGTGTTATCAGTAATGTAACACAAACTCTGTTTTTTTTCCAGCTGGGAAGGGTAATGTAAAAGGAATGCAGATAGCTAATGTAGCTATGAAGCCGAATATCTTTTTGGAGTTATATCTTCAAATCATCATTACAATGGAGAGAATGGATCACTCAAACCACAGAACCACAGAAATGAGTCGTTAGATGAGGAGGACAAGCGGCCTAAAGTTAAAGTTACCAAGGTAGCTGGTTATCTAGCTACCAGAGCCGGTTTATGAGGAGCCTGGCCACTTCCTATTTCCCCCATTATATCAAAAACAGGACTACTAAACAGAAGAGGGCGCCCGCGAGCGGGTCCTCAATGAATGGGGGTGAATGGAGCTCAACGGCTAAAAACGAAAAGTTTAAATAGTTTCTAATCACTGAACCAGAACTTTCCTTTAGTTTTAGAAAGTAAAAGTTTGTATTTCACTAAAACAGCAAAGAAAATTCACCTGTATGTTTCCTTTTTCTGCAGCAAATGGGTTTTAGGGAGCAGAACACTAAAATTACTGCTCCTGAGTGCTGATTGGTTGGCGAGCAGAGCAGCTCGTTGGCTGTTTGCACTCACTGATGTCATGAACGTACATGAGGCGCTGTTTTAAACTTCTATAACTCGAGTTTAAAAGCTCTTAAAAATATAACAGCAGTGTTAAAATGTTTTATGCTGTTCTGTGTTCAGGATATGAATGAATTATTTTACATTAAAGATGTTTAAGCATTTATAAACTATGATTTTGCTCAAATGCTCCCTATTAACCCATTCATTTTAGACCTGCTTTGGAGCGCCCTCTAGCGTTTGAGAAAATAGGAAGACATTACAGAGTGGGAATTCTCTATACAAGTTCTCTGTAGCTACTGTAAATCAGTTCTTTTCTCTGGATGGAAGAATAAAGTGCCTCTGACACCCATTTGGCCTGTAATTTACTTATTGGCCTGTAAATCAGTGGCTAGCAGTCAGGACTGGTTGGCACCACAGGGATTCCCAAAGGTTTTATGAGCTAATTGAGTAACGCACACTGATACTATAGTCAGAGCATTGAACACTGATGAATGAAAACATAAAAACTATGTAAAACTATGAAATTCTGTTGAACTGATGAGGCTGAGGGATAAAATGGTGCCCCACAGCATCCAGCATGACATGACAAATAATAAATAACAACTAACAAACAACACTGAAATCTAGTTTTAGGCCAGAATGCCTTTTAACTAGACACACAGATGTGCTATAACACAAATCTATGTGTTCATTTGTACACATATGTTTTGAGAGTTCAGACGTGACACTAACCTTCTCCGACAGGACATTCAGTGACACAAACTTAAAAGAGAGAACAGGGATCAGTGTAGCGGAGAGTCCATAGGCAGCCAGCTCCTGCAAAATAACCAAATACATGCTTAAAATTATGATGTAAACTTCACATCCATTTCAAATGACCTCCACTCACAAATCGGGCTGGCCGATACCGATAAATTTCAATATCATGATATTTTCCATCATGATATCGGATGAGGTTTAAATTAACATTAAAAAAGTTAATAAACTAACAATTCCATGTTTTGTTGAAGTTCTAAGTGTAAATAAGTTTTAACACATCATCTACAGAGAACACATTTTTGTGCATTTCAATACACATTTACTGTTTATTTGCTGAATTTAAAATATTGGGGAAAATAATAAATCATAAAGTGTGGCCTGTGCAAAAGTTATGGCACATTTTATGTTTTATGTTTCAGTATATTAAACTCATACCTAGAAATACAAAGAATAAAACTGGCAAAACAAATGACAAATTTAAGGATGTTCTCTGTAGAGGATGCGTTGGCTTATTTTCACTGAAAAAACTAACAGAACATCTGATTTGACCAACTTTTGCATATGAATATACGTAGCATGAAGTCATGCAAACATGAACCAGACAAAAACATAAGTTCTTCCAAGAGAACTCCATTGATTTTTTTAAAACATCTACATAATTGAGTGGTTAAGTTGTAAACAGAGCGGTTCAGAGCGGTTCAGAGTGGTTTGGTGTGAAACGCTCCGTTCTAGATAAACTTACCGAGTCAGAACTGTTCACAGTGGTGGTGATAGGAACCAGACGTCCACCTCTAAAAGCTCCCTCACAGAAAGTTACTACATGAAATGGTTATGAATTCACTGCCTGATGACTGAGACACTGTTTTATGATAGTTTTGTAATAATATTTTGGCCTAAAATGTGTAATTAAAACATATTCATGGTGGAGAGACACATGCAAGGTATTTCTAGGCAAAATAGTCCCGAAAGAAAACTTATTTTTTCAAATTTATCGCTATTTTACCATCATCAACATTCCATATAAACTCAGAAGACTCGTGTAGGTTCACTGGTGGTTCTGGATAGTAAATAAAATGTCTATATCTGTGTTGTAGTCATGGCGACCCCTGGTTCTTATCAGTACCACTGTAAAGACATCTGAACCATTTCACACCAAACCACTCTGAATCTCTCTGTTTACATCCTAACTATTTAATTATGCAGAATTTTTGAAAAATCTGTGGAATTCCCTTCTGTGTGTCTGCTGTCAGGCCCTGGATATCATAAGTAAAGAGCAAAAAATATATTTAAAAAAGTGCCTGGCAACAGTAAAACTATTGTATGGGCACTATTTCATGGATATAATGCTGATATGCATCTAATATTCTGCTAAAGCGATCACTAAAATGAAAAAGCAATATCTCAATATACACCGATCAGGCATAACATTATGCTTCTACACTCATTGTCCATTTTATCAGCTCCACTTACTGTATAGGTGCACTTTGTAGTTCTACAGTTACAGACTGTAGTCCATCTGTTTCTCTGATACTTTGTTAGCCCCCTTTTACCCTGTTCTTCAGTGGTCAGGACCCCCATGGACCCTCACAGAGCAGGTACTATTTGGGTGGTGGGTCATTCTCAGCACTGCAGTAACACTGACGTGGTGGTGGTGTGTTAGTGTGTGTTGCGCTGGTCTGAGTGGATCAGACACAGCAGTTATGCCTGATCAGTGTATCAATATCTTGATATATCGCCCAACCCTACCACAACGTTTCTTAAAAACAGTGGCAGTGAACTACAATAGTAGAGTAAAACTCGACTGTACCTTTATATACGGGTCTGGTCCGCTGTCACTCTCTCGTGGCTCTTTTAAAAGCAGTACTTTCATTTTGGCTGTTATCTGCAAGCACTGAAAAGCAGACAAAGTTTGTTACTGTCAAACAAGTCCAAGTAACTGCTGGCTTCTGCCAAACAAAACCACAAACGCAAAGACCTCCACTTTAGAAATACACTTTGATTTGTGAAGCCATTTACAGTATGAATATACACATTAATTATCCAAGTCAATTCCTTTGTAATGCCTTAAAAGCTCAAAACAACTTTCTCACTCTTTCATAAGCTATTCAACAGCACGAGACAATCAGTGGTGCTTAGAGTAACCTATAAAAGTGCAGCTACTGCAGTGAAATTAAAAAATACCTTCCCAAAAAACTACATAAGTACTAAGTAACAGAACATCAGTAGAACTTCTTAGAATATCCAGAGTCTACTAGCAGTGGAACTGAATATTATCAGGATTTATCCTCCCATTTTAAAGGGGAAATTAAAGGGGAATTCCACCAATTTTTCAAAATTTCTGCATAATCGTTAATCTCGTTGAGATGTAAACTTACTTACTCAGACATCTTTACAGTGGTGGTGATAGGAACCAGAGGTCGCCATGTCAACGACACAAATATTTTATTTTATTTACTATCCAAAACCACCAGTGAACCTACACGAGTCTTCTGAGTTTTTATATGGAATGTTGATGATGGGAAAGTAGTGATAAATTAATAAATAGTGAAAAAATAAGCTTTCTTTGGGGACTATTGTGCCTCACAACACCCCGTGTGTACCTCACCACGATGAATGCATTTTTCAAAATACGTAAAATAATGTCTCTGACATCAGATAATGTGTTATTTACAGTTTCATGTAAGTATATGGATTTTTGTCATGCTTAGGATGTCTGGTTCCTATCACCACCACTGTGAACAATTCTGAACTGCACATTCACTCTGAACCACTCTGAATGACTTTGTTTACATTTTAAAGATTTCAATATGCAGATTTTTTTAAATTGGTGGTATTCCCCTTTAATTAATATACTCCAATCGACCAATCACAAACCAGTACAGATCCTAACAATAATAGGACTGAGTAAAAAACAATATTTTCCCACTAATATTCTTGAAAATACTCAGCAAAGTACAAATCCATCACGATTGCTCTTGGTCTGTATGGAACTGAGTAACTGGAGTTACTACTGACCTCTGGAGACGCTACTTCAGCTTTTCAGGAAATGAAGAGGTTTGGTCACCACTTTCTTGTTGTAAAATCATTGAATATATCCTTAACAGCTGTGGAGGATTTGATGTGCGAAAATGAGTCTCCTCACAACTGTCTCTGAGAGTGAGTAAGCACAATGAACACACAGCACCGCCCCAAACCCGACACATGCTCGCCTCTGATAACACAAAGCCGAATGACAAAAGGAGCCCAAAGTACCGGCAAAGTGTCTAACAAGCTTTCCACAACAGCTCAGAGAGGAAAATACAATGGCGTTTTAGGGCCACTGTTAATAAAAATAAAAATAGTAGACTTCGAGAATAAAGTCGTAATATGTCGAGAAAAAAAGTTGTAATATTTTGAAAAAAAAAGTCGGTTTCTGTGATTGAAGTAAAAATCGACATTCTGATCTTTTCAGGCGATGATTCACAGGTTTTCAGTGTGAGCACTTAAGAAAAAAAAGCTATTTAAAAAAAAAAAGGTTGAATTAATTTTTTTTTTGTGGGCCTCTTTGCTTTACAGTTGCAAACAGGTGGGCCCTGGCGCGGGAAAGGTTGAGAACCCCTGAGCTGGACTGACCTCTCTAACTAGCTCACTTTTGACCACAGTAAACAACAAATATAGGCTATTGTTGCATAATAAGAAACTATAATGGTGTTTCCATTAGTATCTTAGCATCGTAGTAATTACATTAAATATAAATTTAATAAATAAACAAAATATTTACATCTCACTGTTTTTTTTGTAGACTTTTTGGTCAGAAAGTGCAGAGGAGAAACATTTCCAAATTTGCATTTGATCAGCAAACAACAGCACTGGATATTTTATTCGTCTTATTATTATTGTGGGATATTTAGGGAGGGGAAAATAAAATCCCAGCATCCAAACCCAGACTCTCCAGTTAAAGGAACCCAAGCAGCTCTCTCTGATGGTACCATAGCTGAGGAGACACTGGGTCCACTATAAAGAGTCAAATTCAATTTGTAGACAAAAGATGTTTATTACAGAAAACTGTAAAGACCTTTGAAATGTTAGATGGCAAATCTGTTATTCAGTCATAGTGAGATGTAAGTAGTAATTATGCCAATGTTTATCATTATTATGATAGATTATGTCACAATATGTATATATTATATATATGTATATGTCACAAGTTGGTGTTAGGAACTAGGTATCGCCATGACTACAACACAAATATAGACATTTTATTTACCACTCAGAACCACCAGTGAACCTACACGAGTCTTCTGAGTTTATATGGAATGTTGATGATGGAAAATAGTGATATATAAACAGTGAAAAAATAAGTTTACTTTAGGGACTATTTTGCCTCACAATACCCCACGTGTGCCTATGACAATGTTTATCATTACTGTGATAAATTATGTCGCAATATGTATATATTATATACACCGATCAGGCATAACATTCTGACCACCTCCTTGTTTCTACGCTCATTGTCTATTTTTTAGCTCCACTTACTATATAGGTGCACTTTGTAGTTCTACAGTTACAGACTGTAGTCCATCTGTTTCTCTGATACTTTGTTAGCCCCCTTTTACCCTGTTCTTCAGTGGTCAGGACCCCCATGGACCCTCACAGAGAGAAACAAGGATGTGGTCATAATGTTATGCCTGATCCGTGTGTGATTAGGCATAACATTATATATATATATATATATATATATATATATATATATGTGTGTGTGTGTGTGTGTGTGTGTCACAAGTTTCTATTGCCAGTACTTGAAGCACACCAAGAAACCTGTTTTATTATAAAGACAGCAGAATTAGTCCTGTTTAATTGGATTTAGTGCAGTACAGTATGTGTAGAATATAATTGTACTTTTGATAGAATTTTTCATAGTTTTTGTTGTCTGTTCCAACTTAACAAACCTCAGAAAAACTAAATATCGTGATGACATATCATGTATTGCGAAAACACATCGTGATGTGACATCTTTGCCATATTGCCCACTTCTAGTAGCAGTTACATTTGGTACTTATTTACAAATTTAGATGGATTTGTACTTTTAATGAGTATTTTCAAATAATAATAGCTTTGAGTCCAATTTTTATTCAGCTTCATGTTAGTCATTACTTTTATTTCTTTTGTGTTTAAGTTTATTCTGTTGTGTTGGTTCCTGCACTGCTTTGGCTTCTCAGTTTAGACCATTCTCATATTTTAGACCATCAGAATCCAAAAACAGAAGAACAGAGCTTAATAACTGCAGGTCCTATGCTGATTGGTGCTGGATGTACTAAGAGGTCCATCTGCAGTTCTGCAGGTTCATTAAGTTACTCAGTATTTGAGTTTTTGGACTGTTTGCCTCACTTTTAATAGAGGATTATTTAGTCCCTTCAAACAACTTCTCGTCACATTGGTGTCACGTTTAGGTACTGGCTGTCTAAGTCTGCTGTAGTCCAGACTCTAACCGACTATTCCTAATAATAATAAGTGCCATGCTGTTACAGTTCGTGGTCTGCAGTGGACAACGTCCTGCTGGGGGGCACACAAACAGCTGACCGCAAACGAGCTACCCATTCACTATGTTTCTATACTTCCTCCTATACCATTCAACGTGTAAACTGAGAATATAATGTTAATAATAATACCAAACTTATAAAAAAATCACACCCACTTATCTAGTCGATCACATTCTCGCAGTGTTTATATTCTGTGTAATCCATGAAGTACAGAGGACTTCTGTTGATGAGCATTTTTCAAAATAAAAGCTCAACGGTTGCGAAACGTTACACGCTTGCTTTCTCTAAAAGCTGGTGATAATACCATCCTCTGCCATGCATCTGAACCATTACGTCTCATATATAGAATATATAAAACCGAATAAGGTAAATCTGTTTGTATTTTGAGAAATTATACTTCTACTCAGAGAAACTGGTATTTTGACAACAACTGGAACGGCCAAAGCGCTCGTAGATGCGTGATTGGTTGGAACCACCGTCCTTATCCCGCCCACCTTTCCCTCGCGATGATCTGTTGGTTGAAACGGCTGTCCGTCTCCTCGCCCACATTCTCCTCGCCCGGCTCATTGATAAAAGCAGCAAATCTGAGAAACTTTAAACGCGCGTCTTCTGCGTCTTTTGGAGTTACAGAATAAATCAGACGAGTGAAAAATGAACACGACACCTCTGGAGACTTTCGACTTCGAGCGGAGGTTTGACGAAAAAGTCGCATTTGAGTGGTTTGAAGAAAACTGGTGAGTGAAAACTAAAATCCCAGCCTTTCTGATGAACAGAACCGACTCAGAGCTCCTCTATGGACCGGCTTTTGCAAATGCAAAGATAAAACGATTGCAGAAGATGTCTTGCCTAGTTTGCATATAATACATATAATTAATACACATATAGGCTCTTCAGCTTTTCCCAGTGGGGCCAGAGGGGAAGAGGACACTTCTCTTATCTGGACACTTCACACCTGGACACTTTATCTCTGTACTAATATCTGCACATATTTAGATAGATAGATAGATAGATAGATAGATAGATAGATAGATAGATACTTTATTGATCCCGACGGAAATTTAGCAGCCAGTAGCAGTCACACAGCAGAGGAAAGCAATAGTAGTAAGAGTGTAAACAATAACAGGAAGAATAAATATAAAAATCGTATTTATATTTATTCATATTCATATTTATATTATTTATATTTATTTATAAATATTTATATTCATTTATATATTTATATTTATTTATATAGTATTTATTCAGTATTGTCATTATATTCTGTTACCCGTGCCTCCTCGTACAGTCATTACTGCACTGATTTTTTATCTCGGGTTGTAGATCTTACTGCAGATTTTTGTATATTTCTATTTGTATATATGCCTGTAGATAGGTATTTTGTATTTATTTTTCTTTTTATATTGTTTCACCCTTATTATTATAACTGTGCTGTGTTGTGTGACTGATACTGGCTGCTGAATTTCCTTTGGGATCAATAAAGTATCTATCTATCTATCTATCTATCTATCTATCTATCTATACATACATATGTACGTGTGTGTGTGTGTGTGTGTGTGTGTAATACACTGCATATACTACAATATCAATTCATAATTCAGGTGCTTGACAGACCCGGATGGAGAAGCTTAAACTATCTTCCAGTAAAATTACTACTGCAGTGAAATTCCCAAGTGGAGATAAAGAATACCTGACCAAAAACAACTTAACTGAACAAGCATCTGGTCTAGAAAGTGCTCCGGCACTCAGTTCCCTGTGCTACAGTACTGAGAGCTGCAATAAAACTTCTTAGAACATCCAACATCTCTCAGCATAAGAACTGAGGTAACTCTGTTGTTCGCATTTTGGTCTAAAATAATAATAGTAATAACATAGTAATAATAATAATATATAGCACCTTTCATACATTAAAAATGCAGCTCTAAGTGCTTCATAATACAAAGTAAAAACAACAGAGGATGAAGAGACAAAAGATAATCAAAAATAAAAACAACAAATAATGAACATATAATAAATAGCAGAAACAGGATATGTTAAAAATTACAATTAAAAAATAAAAGACAAGATAAAAGAAAGAAAAAATTACAGTAAAAATGCTACTAACAAGAAAATAGAAGTTAGTATAGTAATATTCCAGTAAAAACAAAGGAAACAATAAAAAACAGTTAAACACTAAAGTAAAGAAATATGTTTTAAAGAAAGAAATTACTGTTTAAAATAGATGCAAAAGCTCCAAAATTGAGAGGGAAAAGCCATCCTGGAGCTGAACCACCACAACAGAGTGGAATCAATCCACTAAAAAGGGGTTAGGAACTAAATCTGAAGGACTGAAATGGAACTGAGGAAAAAGTAGAATCCACAAATGTTTACAAATAAACCTAAATAGAAGTAAATGTGTTATTATTTGAAAATCTTTTAATAGTTTAAATCAATTAAAATTGTTTAACAAAAAACAAAAAAATGAAATAAATCTGCAGACACACCTCCAAAGTTCAGTCTTAGAAGCTGGTTGATCATTTTCTGAAGTAATCAAACACATTCAGTGGTGTTGAGGTCTGGACTCTGGGGTGGTCAGTCCATCGTTCAGCTTCTTTGTTTGGTGTGTCCGTCTCCTTTTCTCAGTGAGGTTCTTCTTGATCAGCTACACATCCTTTCAGACCCACAGCGCTGAGTCGTCTTCTCACAGTGGAAGGATGGACAGAAACACCTGTGGATGTTTTCAGATCTGATCAGCTTGATTTTCTCCTCTCTCTCAGAGATGAAAGCTTTAAGTGCTGTTTATCTGATGGGGGCAGTTTTGGGGTCGACCAGCTCTTCCAGGTGGTTGTTAGGAGTCCCCAAAACTGCCCCCATGAGATAGACAGCCCTTAAAGCTGGGTTTCTAATTTCTCGTGTAAATGGACTGTCTTATGTCTTGTCTCCTCAGAAACATCTCCTAAACAACTCAATAACTCGTACCTTTACAGTGTGTATATGAATTTGAATGGGCCGTTCCTCATTAGTAGCTACAGACACATATTACATTTGTTAATACACCATTAATACTGCTATTATTTAGCTATTAGTTCATAATAATGGTTAGTTAACAGCTTTAAAGTATTATTGAATAGTTTCCAATAATGCTCGTATACTTTAGACCACTTCTGTTGTAACTACTGCACATTGTTACTTCACTGTGTTTATGTGTGACAGACAGACAGTGAGTAAATAAATAAAAGAGAGGATGATGAAATGATTTTCGGAGTAGACATCCAAAGTCCACATGCACTGTATCTTTCCAGGATCACCTGAGGAACGAGAGGGATATTATTTCCTTATAAAATTCCACTTCTGAATCCAGTCGTGCAGCAGCGCTGCCAGATTGGCCCTTTGACGCCCACTTAAGTGCCCCATCCGCTGCGTTAAATGAGACGCTGTTCAAATATCACTCAGCCTAACAGGTGTCGGCTCATATCAGTCCTGTGAACTGAAGTAACATCTGTAGAGCTGTGGCAAAGTCTTTATCTTGTACAAAACCAGCATGTGATAAGGAGTCCACGCTGTTAGTGACTGATGTGACTCACCTTTGTCCCGGTCATGACTACGTCACTGTAATCAGCTCCATCTCTCACATCCGACTGGCTGCAGACACATTTCTTTATCTGCAAGAAATTTAAGTAAAATTGATAAACGAATAAAAATAAAGTGAGGGTAGGCGATATGACAAACATATATATCAAATTTCACAGTATAATTGAAATTCTTGATGGATTTTATTTATCAGGGTATATATATTTTAAAATAAAACACTTTAGATGTTTAAATATGCCTATTTTTGTAGATTAGCAGTGGCGTATAATTCTGGGAGGTCCCTTTACTTTTTAATAAGGACCAATTTTGACATCAAAGTAAATCTGAAACAGCAACATATCAGCTATCAGTAGCAGTAATGGTAACCAATCAGCTCTCAGTAGCAGTAAAACTAACCAATCAGCTCTCATTAGCAGTAATACTAACCAATCGGCTCTCAGTAGCAATGATACTAACCAATCAGCTCTCAGTAGCAATGATACTAACCAATCAGCACTCAGTAGCAGAAATGCTAACCAGTCAGCACTCAGTAGCAATAATACTAACCAATCAGCCCTCATTAGCAATGATATTAACCAATCAGCACTCAGTAGCAGTAATGCCAACCAATCAGCCCTCAGTAGCAGTAATGCTAACCAGTCAGCACTCAGTAGCAATAATACTAACCAATCAGCTCTCAGCAGCAGTAATACTAACCAATCAGCTCTCAGTAGCAATGATACTAACCAATCAGCTCTCAGTAGCAATGATACTAACCAATCAGCTCTCAGCAGCAGTAATACTAACCAATCAGCTCTCAGTAGCAATGATACTAACCAATCAGCTCTCAGTAGCAATGATACTAACCAATCAGCTCTCAGCAGCAGTAATACTAACCAATCAGCTCTCAGTAGCAATGATACTAACCAATCAGCTCTCAGTAGCAATGATACTAACCAATCAGCACTCAGTAGCAGTAATGGTAACCAATCTGCACTCAGTAATGCAAACCAATCAGCACTCAGTAGCAGTAATACTAACCAGTCAGCACTCATTAGCAGTAATGCTAACCATTCAGCACTCAGTAGCAGTAATGCTAACCAGTCAGCACTCAGTAGCAGTAATGCCAACCAATCTGCGCTTAGTAGCAGTAATGCTAACCAATCAGCACTCAGTAATGCAAACCAATCAGCACTCAGTAGCAGTAATGCTAACCAATCTGCGCTCAGTAGCAGTAATGCAAACCAATCAGCACTCAGTAGCAGTAATGCTAACCAATCAGCACTCAGTAGCAGTAATGCTAACCAATCAGCCCTCAGTAATGCAAACCAATCAGCACTCAGTAGCAGTAATGCTAACCAATCAGCACTCAGTAATGCAAACCAATCAGCACTCAGTAGCAGTAATGCTAACCAATCTGCGCTCAGTAGCAGTAATGCAAACCAATCAGCACTCAGTAGCAGTAATGCTAACCAATCAGCACTCAGTAGCAGTAATGCTATCCAATCAGCACTCAGTAGCAGTAATGCTAACCAATCAGCACTCAGTAGCAGTAATGTTAACCAATCAGCACTCAGTAGCAGTAATGCTAACCAATCAGCACTCAGTAGCAGTAATGCTATCCAATCAGCACTCAGTAGCAGTAATGCTAACCAATCAGCACTCAGTAGCAGTAATGCTAACCAATCAGCACTCAGTAGCAGTAATGCTAACCAATCAGCACTCAGTAGTAGTGATGCTAACCAGTCAGCACTCAGTAATGCAAACCACTCAGCACTCAGTAGTAGCAATGCTAACCAATCATTACTCAGTAGCAATAATGCTAACCAATCAGCACTCATTAGCAGTAATGCTAACTATGCAGCACTCAGTAGCAGTAATGCTAACCATTCAGCACTCAGTAGCAGTAATGCTAACCAGTCAGCACTCAGTAGCAGTAATGCTAACCAGTCAGCAAATCGAAATGTATCTCTTTCTGTGTGTTACAGGACGACTTCGTTCGTGTTCTGCACTCTGTATGCTGCTGTTATATTCCTTGGCCGGCATTTCATGAGAGAGAGGCAGAAGCTGGACCTGCGAAGGCCTCTAGTTCTCTGGTCACTGAGTCTGGCTATATTCAGGTGAGTATCACTCAGATAACGCAGTTCCACTGCTCCACAGCCCACATGTGGCACTGGGCATGTTGATGTTAGCGTATTGAAAATTCAGCACTACAATGTAGTAAAAACTTCAATACTTTAACTTTCAACTCTTTATTTAAATCGCTATAACGCTACACTGATGTAATTTACTTAAAGGCGAATCAAACTGCAGATTCATCTGAGTTTATTCAGTAACACGAGCATAAACTGCAGGGATCAGTCAACACATGGTGTAACAGTTACAAATAAACAAACGCCGCTCAGCACCGCCCCCTAAACCTGTCATTAACAAACATCAAATAAACAAACGCCGCTCAGCACCGCCCCCTAAAGCTGTCATTAACAAACATCAAATAAACAAACGTCGCTCAGTGCCGCCCTCTAAAGGCGTCATTAACAAACATCAAATAAACAAACGCCGCTCAGCCCCGCCCCCTAAAGCTGTCATTAACAAACATCAAATAAACAAACGTTGCTCGGCGCCGCCCTCTAATGGCATCATTAACAAACATCAAATAAACAAACGTCGCTCAGCCCCGCCCTCTAAAGGCGTCATTAACAAACATCAAATAAACAAACGTCGCTCAGCCCCGCCCTCTAAAGAGGTCATTAACAAACATCAAATAAACAAACGTCGCTCGGCGCCGCCCTCTAAAGAGGTCATTAACAAACATCAAATAAACAAACGTCGCTCAGCGCCGCCCTCTAAAGAGGTCATTAACAAATATCACATAAATAAATTTTTTGTATTCAGTCTAATAAGCTTTGGCTGTTCAGACGATGAAAAGTGTTTATTTTTTTGATCAAGCATGGTGATTCTACACTCAGTATCAGTGTCAAGTTCAAGATTCTGGAATTGTGTCAGCCTTTCTTGAATGATATAAATTCAGCTATGTAGCCTGAGAGCAGGGTGGGGTGAGCTGAGGTTTCAGACAGATATTTCACTTCGCAGCATTTTATCTGATTATTTTGGATCTACTACAGAGACTGAGATTACAGTGCACCTGTATAATATCTGTCAGGTCAGAGACACTGGATATAAAAAAGGCTTGGTTGATCGCTGGTGAAACAGGTCTGAAATAGAGTGTAGACGGTTTTTCATATCAGAGACGTGGGAAGGTGTTTTAAGTTAGGGGTGCTGAACATTTTAGCAAAGCGCAGAATTTAAGAACACATCATGAATCTAACAGACTTTTTTTTGTGACCTTTCTTAAGAACACATTTAAGAAAACACTTAGAAGGATACTGGTGAATGAGGCCCATTCTTACGAACTTCTTAGTGTTTGTCTTAAGAACCTTCACAAGTTTTTTTCTTAAGAATGCTTTCGTAAATCCGGCCCCAGAAGTCGTGATGTCTACAATGCATTTATAGCCATTTTATTGACTATCCAAAATGACCAGTACCTACTCATGTATATTTGGGCCAAATTATATCTCAGACATTAGGCAGCATATTCATAAGAACTTCATGTAATAACTTTTTGAGAGCAAGCTTTTAGAAGCATTAAATTCATCAGACGTCTGGTTCCTATCACCACCACTCTGAACTGTTCTGACTCTGCAGAGAGCCTGAATTACATAGTTTTCTTCTTAATGATTTAATAATGGTGGAATTTTGAAAAATCATTGGATTTTCCCTTTAGGTATAGGTGAATGAGTAAATGTAATTCATGGCTGTGTAATTGAACAGTTGTGACTGCAGGGCAGAGTGCAGTTTCCCTAGAGCAGGTTCAGGTGTGCTGCAGCTGCATTTTGAACTTGCTCCACCTTTAATCAATCACTTTAACATGTTTTGAGTAGAATATCAGGCTCTGCACACTGACTGGTTACGATTACAACTCTACAGAGCACTGGAAGTCCTCCAGAGGAGACTTATATAGGTTTAATATGGTATCAAAGATGCTTTTAAATGAGTATTTTGTAATGTTACATGTGTTTGTTCCTCAGTATTTTGGGAGCCATCCGTACCGGATCCTACATGGTGCACACTTTCAGCTCCAATGGCTTCAGGCAGACTGTGTGTGACACCACCTTCTACAGCGCACCCGTCAGCAAGTTCTGGGCATATGCCTTTGCCATCAGCAAGGCACCTGAACTCGGTAAGCTTCCACACACACAGTACGGTACAGAAAGCAGAGACCACCTGTTATTTTAATTTCCAGTCAAAACAGTCATTCATTTTCCAGCATCATTAAAAAACAGAAAACATTTTGAAGAAAATTACACGTTTTTTTGTGTTTATTCCAGCTTTCATTCTTTTTAGGAGACTCACTTTCAGTCTCTCAAAGAATCTGCAGACACACCTCCAAAGTTCAGTCTTAGAAGCTGGTTGATGATTTTCTGAAGTAATCAAACACATTCAGTGGTGTTGAGGTCTGGACTCTGGGGTGGTCAGTCCATTGTTCTGAGAACACCAGCCTCTTTGACTGCAGACAAATCGGATTTGTTTCTTAAATCAGATTTGCAAGTGATCAGATTGGATTTGTGTGTCCAGACATCACCAGTCTATCTGCATGCATTGCCGTGGTAACAGCGTAGATGACAGCAACTACGTAGCTACGCTGGTGATGCGTATTTTTAAAACGCGGATGCAGGAGAGATGAAGGAGCATCATCTCGCCCTCCAAACTCTTCAGAACTCTCTTCATAATCATGAACCTTTAGAGCTCTCCTTGAATCCCAGCACTCCATCACTCTGGATTTGACATCATAATTGTTTGTCGTGGTCCGAGTGATGCAGAAGACACCAATCTGAGCGACCAGAGTGTCCAGACTGAGATCTGTAAAAACTCAGATAGGAATTGCATTTCAAACCACCTCCAAATGTGGTTTGGATTTCATGTGTATTTTGCTGTCCAGACTCACATCAAGCCAAGAAAACTGTTTCTGTCAGCACGAATGACAGTAATATTTACTGAACTCCAGCAGAGTCTGATGCTCGGAGAGAACATATACATCACAGGTTTATCTCTGTATTCTTCAGTTCTGTTTTTACCAGTTTAAACAATTAAAAATATTTCACATTTACCTCAGTTGCTAAATATGGTTCTTATTAAAAGTGAAGGGGCATTCTCGAATAATAAGGCATCAAAATAAGCATCTAAAATGGTTTCGTTGGGATCAGGTATCGAAAGGGAAAAAGTGATATCAGTGCATCCCTAATCGTACTGTATCGATCAGAATCACAGCACATCGTATTTTATCACTGTATTGTAAGTAGCATGTTGTCCTGTGACTAGTTTATTAGCTTGGGGCTAAAAAAACTCTAATAAACTGAAAATGGAAACATTAGCATATTAACATAAGGCATATTTTCAGCCACAATTGTAAAATAAAAACAAAATTCAATGATGTGCAAATCATTTAAACCCTATATTTCATTGAAAATACTACAATTGCTGTAGTTTAGAAAGTGAAATGTTTTCCTGTTCTTCTTTGATACAGGATTTCAGCTGATTAACAGTTCAGGGTCTCCTTGTCGTATTTTTCATTCCATAATGCGCCAAATGTTATCAGTGGGTGACAGTCTGGACTGCAGGCAGGCCAGTTTAGCACCCGTATATGCTTATATACTTAAGAATCTGGGTGCTAAACTAAAATATATATACTAAATTAAGACACCACTGTATCATATTCAATTGAATTATGAATCAGGGCTGCAACAAACGACTAATTTGATAGTCGAATAATCTATTGATTATTGAAACGAATAGTTATTCAGATTCTGAAACACTGAATTACCAAATAACTCTTATGTAGCTATCAGCTTTTAAATTTAGCTTGAGGTTGTTTTATGCATTTGCTAACTAATAATGAATACAGTAAAGATGAAAAACTGTTCTAATGAACTTTCCTGCTGATACAAAACATAAATAAAACATTTTTTTCCTGTCAAAATGTAAAACCAAGGATGTGCAAAGTAGCAGCAATAAAATATAACAAAACTAAATATGTTTTCCTTTAGTCAAGTAAATCAATCTAAATGTTAAATGTAAACAGTGCAGTCTGTGCTCTGTGCACTCTGCTGTCTGTCTACTCTGCTGCTGCTGAATTCTACAATCACAGGTCTTTACTGAAACGCAGGAAAGTCATCTCTCCATGATCTCTGAGAGCAGATACTCCCCACTGCAGGGAAGATGGGAAAGTGGCAAACTTTCGTGGTGAACTTGTTCTCTATGAACAGTTAAATTTGAAAGACTCTGTAAACATTTCATTTCAGCTGTAAACCTTCGTCCAGCTGCCCTGTATGTTCGCGGAGAACTACCTCCTGTTTGCGATTGGTGGAAAACGTCCGCAGAAAGCAGAAAACTGTTTGCATCTGTTAGCAAATGCTATTCTGTGTTCGCCGAATTTGAACACACCAAGGCCTCGACACTAAGACGACGATGCAGTGTTTAAAACTAAACGTTATCTAGAACGTGAGCAGGGTCGCTGTGGGTAATAGTTACTTCCTTCTCTGCTCCAACTCCGTTAATGATTTCAGAGAACAGCATTTTGAAATAGAAATGAGTGCTGTGTCGGCGCTGCACTGTCCTGTTTGTTTACTGTGTCTAATGGCTGTTTAATTTGTCGAATTTATTGTTTCTGGTTAAATTTTTTGTCTGTATGTTTCCACTTTATACTTTTTGTTCCTTGTTGCACCGTGATCTTCCTGGAGGAACGTAATTTCACTCCACTGTGTACATAGATGGAATGACAATAAAAGCCTGTTGACTTGACTAGATGTTACAGCTCATAACACAAGTAGGACGGCTTAACATTAGCATTAGCTCATGGGCTAGCACAGCTATCTTACAGAGATGAATCTTCTTCATCCAGTGAGGCGACGTGTGGATGTGCTCCAATGCCAGCTAAGGTTGGCTTTATAAATAGCACAACTGATGGCCTTTTTTTCTGAATTTAGCATGAAACACTCCCACAGATTTTGTTCTTGAGGCAGCCATTGTGGTTTTGTTAACTCTCCAATGAGCGGCAATGTCAAAACATTCCTAGTGAGCACAAGAAAGACGCGTAACGACTCCACCAACTAATCGACTACTAAATTAATTGCTAATTTGGTTGTTGATTTTAGTGAACTAAGTCGAATAATCGTTGCACCCCAGTGAATTTTGTGTATCATTACACCCCTAAATATCACTGTTGTTTATTGTTCCCTCTTTAGACCTACAAAAAACCCTAAATAAATGTAGCTGTAGAAAACGCGTCAGACAAAAGTATGAATAAAATTCAGGTTTCAAAAACCTGCTGCAGTTGTTTTTAGCCATGTGATGTACTTTGATCCAGGCCTGGAGGTAACAGTCATACAGTGTCAGAAACTAGATAATCAAGTCTGTTAGAGATTACAGAGCACCTCCACACAGTTTGAGGTGAGGGAGTGATGATGTAGGCATGTTAGTATGGCGCTGATTGACGGGGTATAAGCTTACATTCCCAGCTACATTAGCCTCGTTGCTCAGATGCCAAAGTGAAGAAGCACTAAGTATTCCTTTAAACTCAAACCTGTTTATTCTGCTCACCTTACTGATTTATGAGTGTGTATGCAGACTGACTACCACCGCTGTTAACGCTGTTTGCACCTTTAATCATTGTTTCTCCTGTGGTCTCAGGTGACACGGTCTTCATCGTTCTCCGCAAGCAGCGTCTGATCTTCCTGCACTGGTACCACCACATCACGGTTCTGATGTACAGTTGGTACTCCTACAAGGACCGGGTGGCCGGAGGCGGTTGGTTTATGACCATGAATTACACAGTCCATGCACTGATGTACAGCTATTACACCGCCAAAGCGGCCGGCCTGCGACTGCCCAAGCCCTGCGCCATGATCATCACAACAATGCAGATCCTACAGATGGCCATGGGCCTGACCGTCCTCGCGTTAGTTTACCACTGGCACCATGACGTCCACTGTGCCTCCAACATGAACAACATTGTGTCGGGCTCACTCATGTACCTCAGCTACCTGGTGCTTTTCACCTGGTTCTTCTATCAGTCCTACCTGAAGAGGGAGAAGAGCAAGGATGTTAAAGTTGAATAAGAGTGGATTGGCCAGTAGGGGGCAGTAGTGTGGATCTAGATTAGGAATCGGCAAATAATATTTAGTTAAACTGTGGATTAAGGCCCAATCCCATTTCTTATTTTTACCCCTACCTCTTGTTTTTGAGTGTCGCCCTAACCCCTTGGAAGTGAGTTACAGGGTAGTGGTTGAAATCTTCCCTCTGAAATGGGACCCTCAAATAAAAAGAGCATCACTTCATTAACAGCTACCAGCGCTGCTCTGTAGGCAACCCTGCCCTGAGAATGTAACTGCTGGACTATTTAAGGTGGAGCGGGAAATTTAGCTAACTACCGAGACGTCAGCACTACTAGGGATTTTAATGCTTGTTATGAAGAAAAGGACCATAATACACTGAAACAACATTAAACTAAGATAATATGATGGTTAGCATAATTTTTTAACAGAGAAAATTCTCACATTTGTGGCTTTCTTTGGTCTCTTGTTCTCCATCTTACCGTTTTTTCTTTTTTTCTCATAACTCTCTGTTTGGAGTCTCTGAAAAACCTCCATTTGGAGGATCATGTAGCTCTAACACTTCACCCTACCCCTCTGTCTCAACAAGAATCAGGACACCCTACCCCTAGACGTGAACGCACAAAACGGTAGTAGGGCTAAATGGTAGGGGCGAGGGGTGAAATGGGATTGGGCCTTAGAGTGATTCACACTGTGGTAAACAGAAACAGTTTTCACCACATTTGTGTTCATAAGTGAAACAGGAGATATTTTCTTAGGATTTCTTAGGTAGAAAGTCGTTGTACGTTCAGTCTTGTTTGTGGGGAAAAAATTATTCCATTTTTTTGTCATTTTGGTATCAAATAGAAAAGAGTTTAAGGTGCAGACTCAAACCCGTCAGTACACAGTGCAAACTGAATGTAAATGCACGGACAGCACTTAAAAAAATGAACAGCACTTAAAAAAACATACAGCACTTAAAACAAACAGCATTCCAAACAAACAGCACTTAAAAGGAAGCTCCACCAATTTTTTTTAACTATTTCTGCAGTCACTGAGGTGTGAAATGGTTGATTGTAGAGACTCAGATGTCTTTACAGTGGTGGTGATAGGAACCAGGGGTCGCCATGACTACAACACAAATATAGACATTTTATTTACTATCCAGAACCACCAGTGAACCTACACGAGTCTTCTGAGTTTATATGGAATGTTGATGATGGAAAATAGTGGAGAATCTGTTTAATATTTCTTCATCTTTATTTACAGCTTCCTACAAATGAGTTATATTTTACTGAAAGCAGTGATTCAACTTTTGAATGCTAGTTTTCATGCAGGGAACCTCATCTTACAGCAGTGTTCTTACTTTGAGCCTCATTAGGTTTTAACACAGTTTGCACCTTTTCTGTTTTGACATTCCTTTTAATTGTTCAGCAGCTATTTTGATTTGTTTGTAATTTTGTTTTAATAATTACTCAAAGTGAATTACTCAGTGTGTTGTACTGTAGGAACAGATTAACAGAAGATTTATTCAAAATGTTTACCTGAAAACCTGAAATGTGATCACAGCTGAAGGACATTAGATTGTTTAGAGAGAGTACTCGGGGCAGGAAACTTCAGGATGCTTATGAGGGTCCGGTTTGATTACTGTTTCTGACTTTTGCACTGTTCACGTTTGGTGTCTAGATTTTGTTGTTTTATTTTATCACTGGAGTCAGAAATCTAACATTGCCAACAAACACTAGATGTCAATAATCACCCAAATCTTTTTGGTAAATATATCGCTAAAACTGCTCTCAACCAGCTCTAACCTCATTCAGGTATTTTTTAAGGTCGTGCAGATATGGGGGCTCCTGAGTGACCCAACCGTCTAAACGTTGGCCCTGTCATCAGGTGATCACAAGTTTGATCCCTGGTGATGCTACAGCCGTCCGTGGCTAAGAGTCCAAGAGAGCACAGTTGGCCTCGCCCTCCCTGGTGGGTAGGATGCCCCCTGCCTTCACCCAGCGCAATGATAGCCAGCTGTGAGCTGATGTAACAGAATTGACGGTTGGCGCTGTCCTCCAGCTGTCCGATGGCGTTGCATTAGTGGCAGTTCGAAAAGATGCTTCACAGGTCTCGGAGGAAGCCTGTGCTAGCTTTCGCCCTCCTAGCACTGGTGGTATCGTGTGATTGGGGAAGTCCTGACAAGTGGGTGGAATTGGATACTAAATTGGGGAGAAAATTAGGAAGAAAATGTAAAAATGTCATGCAGACCTGTTGATGTGGTTTAGAGCACAGTGTGACTTTGAGCTATGAAAATGAACAAAACTGCACCGTGTAGCTGAACGCTGAGGGTGGACGCTTTAGACAACAGGTGTTGTGCCGAATTCCGAGTCCCCTGCAGAATCCAACTCCCCTTCACGTGCATATGTTACGCAGGCATATAGATGATAGGTTACTACTCGAGATTATAGTTATTTATAAATAGAAACAACAGAAATCATGAACATAATCTGCGACATCTATATGCCTGCGTGACGGAAACACAGAATTCGGCATACCACCTTTCGTCTAAAGAGGCTTCCTGCAGCTACACGGTGACATTTTTATAGCTCAAGTCAAGTCATAATGGGTCCTTAACCACATCTACAAGTCTGTGCGACCTTAATGAGGAGCTGTATGCAGTTTGAGTGGGTTCAGAGACATTTTGGGGTTGCATTCATAAAATCTGGGTGACTATTGACTTCTATTGTTAGCAATAATTGCCTTGTAATCTTGGCTGAGTGGAAAATCGTTTGAATTATATTTTTCACTAATGCTCTCAAATAGTGCTTCTGCCATCATTAAGTTCAGAGAGACATACAGCTACACACTCAAAATCAATGGTTCTTCAAGGGTTCTTTAGTAAAGCAAATGGTTCTGTATAGAGCCATGAATACTCAAAGAACCCTTTGCATGATTAAAGGGTTCTGTACATCATGAAAGCGTTCTTCAGATTGATGGAGAATGTGTTGTAGATAGTTCTATATAGCACCTTTTTGAAAAGGGTTCTATTCACACCAAAATCGGTTCTCCTATTGGTACAAGCTTGACATCGTAACAATAGCAGAACCCTTTTGGTGCCATATAGAACTATCTACACCACATTCATAATCAATCTGAAGAACTAATTCTTGATGCAAAGAACCCTTTAATCATGCAAGGAGTTCTTCGAGTGTTCATGGCTCTATATTGAACCATTTTCTTTACTAAAGAACCTTGAAGAACCATCATTTTTAAGAGGGTAGCTCTATGAAGTCCAGAATCCAGAGCGTAATGCAGTTCACTCTCCCTCGCTCAAAAGGAGTAAAACTTGAAAAGCATAACTGCGGCTGGCTGGCTGCAGTGTGAGCACACCTGGAGGCTTTACCTGCTCAGGTACTGATAGAGATCTGACAGATAGGTATCGGAATGACGGGGAGTCTCGTGCTTTAGTGAAGATATGCTTTGTAGAGAATGTCTCACACATACCTTTGCCGGTCACAGATTTAGATGAAGTTTCCTCATTGCTCGGCTCTCATTGAGATTATTTAATGATTTCCTCCGTCTCTGTGACTTTTATTATGACTCTAACAACTGATTGACTTTGAATTACATAATCACAGTGAATGCACTGCCAGACAGCGTTTTATGTGGGAGTTTTTGCCAAACCAGTTCCTGTACCCCCTTTAAGACAGTTGTCCAGTTCGTCCGGATGTGGAGATTGTTTTGTGATACTGTGTCTGTATATAGGATGAACTGAAATACAGTGCTGAGCAATAAATTTCCAGTCAAAACGACTTTATTCATTTTTCAAGTTATTCACCCCTAAATCTGCTCTCAGCTGTGTGAGTCAGTGAGTCACTCTTTACCTTTATTCCAGCTTCCAGTCTCTTCAGGAGACTCACTTTCACTTTCTCAAAGAATCTGCAGACACACCTCCAAAGTTCAGTCTTAGAAGCTGGTTGATGATTTTCTGAAGTAATCAAACACATTCAGTGGTGTTGAGGTCTGGACTCTGGGGTGGTCAGTCCATCGTTCAGCTTCTTTGTTTGATGTGTCCGTCTCCTTTTCTCAGTGAGGTTCTTCTTGATCAGCCACACATCCTTTCAGACCCACAGCGCTGAGTCGTCTTCTCACAGTGGAAGGATGGACAGAAACACCTGTGGATGTTTTCAGATCTGAAGCAGCTTGATTTTCTCCTCTCTCTCAGAGATGAAAGCTTTAAGTGCTGTTTATCTGATGGGGGCAGTTTTGGGGTTGACCAGCTCTTCCAGGTGGTTTTTAGGAGACACATTTTCTCTGGAGCTGTTAATCAATTTTTTTAGAAACTCCTGTTTATTCACTTCTTTTTTCCTCCCTTGTTCGAGTGGACTATCTTATATCTAATCTTCTCAGAAATCTCTCCTGAAGAATGAATAACTTGTACTTGATGGCGGTTTTTACTGTCTGCACAGAACTGTAGGCCATTACACAACAGTCTTATCTTGTAAATGGTATTCAACAAGATTAGTAGATTAATAGTGTGGTTGTTTTCCACATTACATCCGTTTATTTGTCTTCATGGCATTATTTCTTTTATCCATCCATCCATCCATCCATCCATCTGTTTGGGGCGGGGGTGGGGGTGGGAGAGGGCAGTAGTTTTCTATATAGCATCTGAAGAATTTAGTTTCTGAATAAATGCTCTTCTAAAAGTGCCAGAAATTGTTTTACATTTTATGATAAACATGATCATAATGCACTACATTCCTTAGTTCACTTGAAAACTGACATTTTCTTTTTTCCATATTGCAGATGTTTCTTTTTCTAATGGCTGTCTAAAACATCCTGCTGTGTTATTGTAATGTTGGTGTAATGACAACATGTAACACTTTATCAGCAACATTGTTTGTTTTAAAGGTCTTGAATTTTTGGTTTAGAGCAGCAGTTCTCAGTCGCAGTCCTGGTTTTGTTTTGTCTTTTTTAATCACATTTTTTGATTTGCCACACTGAACTTGGCTCATGAAGGTCGTGATGATGATGATGATGACGATGATTGAATCTGAAGTTGATCCTGAAGTTGATTCTGTGTACTGTAGCTGAGATGGAGAACCTCTGCTTTAGAGATGTATGACTGAGCTGTTTACGTACAATAAACATTTACACACTGATGTATTGTTTTAACTCTGGCTGCTCTTTTGTTCAATTTAATCTGCCGTCTTTCGGTTCCACACCTGCAGCGTTTACCTTCCTGAGCTCATTTTAACCTTAACACTATAAAAACAATCAGACCAGACTGTTACATGAATTTTTACTGATTTTGACCAGCATTTGTCCCTTGGTAGCTGAGCTAGAACCTACACTTTCAAAAAAGATGGTTCTTCAAAGGTTCCTTAGAAATAAAAATGGTTCTACATACAACCATAAGCACTTAAAGAACCATTAGCGTGTTTATGGTGAAATGCTTCTTCAGACTGACAGAGAATGTGTTGTGTATGGTTCTGTATAGAACCTTTTTGAAAAGGATTCTACACTCTTAAAAAGAGGTAATAATTAATAAAGAAAATGGTTCTAATAGTTCTATACAGAATCATGAACATTCAAAGAACCCTTTACATGATTTAACCCTCTACTGCACACATTATGAGAACAAATAAAAAAATATATATTTAATTCACTTTTTGCATAAATTTGATTCATTTTTTTTCAGACCTGTTTATTACATTTACACACATACACCTTCTAAGCCGCTTATCCTTCTGGGTCACAGGGAGCCTATCCCCTACACAGGTCACCAGTCCATCGCAGGGCAGACAGACATACACATTCATACTCACATCTAGGGTCCAGTTGGCCTGACTGCATGTCTTTGGACTGTGGGAGGAAATCCACTCAGACACGGCGAGAACGTGCAAACTCCTCACAGAAAGGACTCTGGTCACCTGGCCGGGGAATCAAACCCAGACCCTTCTTGCCATGAGGCAACAGCGCTACCCACTGCACCATCGTGCCGCCTTTCATTAAACTCAAAGACATAAGAAGTAATAGTAATAATATGTACAGAGGTCCTTTTGGATTATGTTGCCTTGAGGCAACATTGTGCAACACTGGGGATAAATGGTATAGAGCCATGTTCCATGAAGTAGTGAGACCTGGCTTGTGACTGGCTAAATCCATTCAACTGTCGCACAATGTTGCTTCTAGGCAACAAACATATTTCTGCAAATTCTCAAAAAAAAAAGACAAAGATACTGAATGTTAAATAAGAGGTTTAAATGTGCCCACTAAGAGATACTATGACCAAGAACATGCTTTTTATGGACTTATTCAAACTCTTCCCTTTATTGTTAACCCTATGATTGTCTTTATAATTTGTCTTTATAACTTTATAATATAATTTCATTGTAAAGTGAGGAAGGTTAGTTTGTTGCCCTGCACTAGAAGGTTAAGGGTTCTTTAGATCATGAAAGCGTTCTTCACATTGATGGAGAATGTGCTGTAGATTGTTCTATATAGAACCTTTTGGAAAATGATTTTTTGTAGCACCCAAAAGGTTGTAACAATAAAAGAACACTTTCGGGTGATACTTAAATGATGATTAAAGCGTTCTTCAGACTGACGGGAAAATGTGCTGGAGATGGTTCAATATAGAACCTTTTGAAAATATTTCTATATAGCATCCAACAGGGTTCTTCTATTGTTATGATGTCAGGCTTACAGTAGAAGAACGCTTTTTGTTGCTGTACAGAACCCTGTTCAAAAGGGTTCTATTTGGAACCATCTACAGCACATTCATGCGAATTTTCCATCAATCTGAAGAACGCTTTAATGATGCAACAACGCTTTAATCATACAAATGGTTCTTTGCGTGTTCATGATTGTATATAAAACCATACTTTACTAAAGAACCCTTGAAGAACCATCTTTTTTAAGAGTTTGCATTTAAAATCCTGTGGAATTTCAGTTTGACAGATGCCTTAGTCTGTGTTACTGCATTAAATTAACACCTGATTATTTTAATGAGTCTGTCTGTGTTGTGGTGAAGCTGAAGGAGAGGTTTGGAGGAAACCTGATTGGTTAGAAACATGAAGAAACACGTTTTGAAGCCATAATTGCTGTACATTGTTCTCACATTTGCTGTGTGAGTAGGGTGGGAAGGTGCTCACCTTGAGTGTTCACTGTGCTACGAGGACAGTGTAATAAAAAAAATAGAAAAGAACTAGAATCAAATGTATTTTCAGTAGCGGAAATTTTGAAACATTCCCCTTTATGTACTGAGCTCAACAGTTAGGCCCAAACATTTGTATGATTTTTCAACTGTTACCCAAGCCTGCAACAGTAGATCCAATTCCTACAATCAAATATCCTACACACTTAAAAATGATGGTTCTTCAAGTGTTCTTTAGTAAAACAAAAAAAGTGGTTCTTTATAGAACTCTGAACTCGAAGAACCTGTTGCATGAACTTTCATTGATTTTGAGCAGAATTTGCCCCTTGGTAGCTGAGCTGGAACTACACTTTTAAAAAAGACGGTTCTTTAAAGGTTCTTTAGTAAAGACAATATAGAACCAGAAACACACAGACAACCATTTGCATGCCTATGATAAAATGGTTCTTCAGATTGATGGAGTAATGTGTATGGTTCTATATAGAACCGTTTTGAAAAGGATTCTACACTCAGACAGTGCTTCAAGGCTTCTTCTATATAGAACCATGAACATTCAAAGAACCCTTTGCATGATTAAAGGGTTCTTTGCATCATGATAGGGTTCTTTAGATTGATGGAGAATGTGCTGTAGATGGTTCTGTATAGAACCTTTTGGAAAATGATTCTATATAGCATCCAAACGGTTGTAAAAATAGAAGAATGCTTTGGGTGCTATATAGAACCCTTTTCAAAAAGGTTCTAAATAGAACCATGAACACTCAGAACCCTTTTGCATGATTAAAGCATTCTTCAGACTGATGTGAAAATGAGCTGTAGATGGTTCAGTATAGAACCTTATTGAAAATTGCTCTATATAGCACCCAATAGTTATGATGTCAAGCTTGGAACAATAGAAGAACCCTTTTGAGTGCTATATAGAACCCTTCAGATTGATGGAGAATGTGCAGTAGATGGTTCTATATAGAACTTTTTAAAGGGTTCTTCTACTGTGACGATGTCAAGCTTGTAACAATAGAAGAACCCTTCTCAAAAGGGTTCTCTACAGAACCATACACAGCACATTCTCTGTCAGTCTGAAGAACATTTTTATGATGCAAAGAGCCCTTTGAATGTTCATGGTTCTATATAGAACCATTTTCTTTACTAAAGAACCCTTGAAGAACCATCTTTTTTTAAGAGTGTAGTGCTTTGAACAATCTTAGTTTGCTCTGAAATCTTTTGTTATGAAGAGTTGAGGGTGGTGGAGGATGCAACTGCTACTCTGCCAGATATGATGCCTGAGCACTTGTTTCTGGAGCTTTGGACAAAAAAACCCACTAAAATTTTGTCCACCTGCCAAAAATCCATCCAGCTTGGCAGGAAAATGCCCAATCTGGCAACAGTGGTGCCATTCAGAAGTAATCATGGCTATTGTGTCTTGATTTTGGTTTCAATGATAATATTGTGAGTATTAAACAATCAGATCTTTATTGTTGCATGAACTTTCATTGATTTTGAGCAGAATTCATCCCTTTATAGCTGAGCTGGAACTACACTTTTAAAAAAGGTGGCTCTTCAAAAGTTCTCTAGTAACAACAATGGTTCTATACAGAACCACAAACACTCACAGAATCATTTGCATGTGTATGGTAAAATGGTTCTTCAGATTGA